CTATTTTCTAAACTTGCATATTTTCAATGTTTATGACTGGCATCCTTTTCAAAAAGCCCGCTTCTCCTGCCATTATCTCTGTTGTTCATTTTGCGACTTATTGGTGGTTTTTAGCTGTGGGGTCACATATTGAATAGTGAGCTCAAAGATGACCATAAATAAACAATGTGTAAAAAGAAAATGTACGAAATTTCAATTTTGTTCCTTTATTAATATTCTTGATTTTATTTACAAACTATAGTAGTGACTAGTGCACTCAAAGATAACCATACATAAACCATGTGTAAAAAGAAAATGTCCACATAGACATTTCAACCAAAAAAAATCTCCTTTATTAATAGAAAAAAAAGCATTCGATCGAGATATTCCCGTTCTATGTGTGTGCAAAGTTTCAACGTAGAGGACAGTACGCAAGTACCCGTACGTAATTTGAAAATGACCCGTTATTTGAATTAGTGCCCATCGGACTTTTGCTGATTTTCGTTCATCAAACGTCTCCAAATCACACCAAAATGTCTTCCAGCAATTATTCTAGCGATGAAATTTCATCAAGAGATAGTGACTCCTCATACTCCGATGCCTCATTGTCCCATTTTAGTGATTCTTCCCAAGAAAATGAGCCCGACAAATTTTCAAAATATTACTAGTCCCACTCGTAGAGAAACGAGTCTGTTGTCGAATGACGGACCATCGACGAGCGGAACTGGCCCCAGAAAACAGCTGAAAAGGTACGTTTATTTCTGAAACTTAATTATATTATGATATACATATTTTTATTGTGTCTGTTGTTGAATATATTGCTACTTCATAGACATAATTAGTAGGCCTATAGAATGTTATTTTACGTATCAATATTCACATGTAGTGTTGAGGTTGTAGACTAACTCCGGGAAGTTCCAACACCGGCGCCGCAGGCGTCGGAGCTTCGGGTGGTTTCGTTGGTCTCTCGTGGGGGCTAGTAAAACAGCCGATTGGGTGATATTATCGTTAAATCTGCAAAGGGAGTACTTACAATTTTTACATCATAGGGTGCACGACTCCTCAGGGCTCAACTCCAATCACTTGAATGTATAATTTGAAGAAGTCTTCGATGGGAAAAAAGGTTAATTCGGGGTACTACACCAACGATTCTTCCATGTCGCAGCGTTGATTCAAAATAGCGATGAGAAGGTACGCATGCGCGGCAGTGGCAAAGAAAATATGAATATTCATGCTATCGAGCGCCGATCGCTCGAAATCGCTGAATATGGGTCTGCAGATAAACATGAAGTTGTAGATCATGCCATGATCTACACCAGCTTCTGCAACTAATAGACCCTTTTACAAAGTTATTCAAATTTATGGATGTTTCTTTCCTGGGGATAGTAACAAGGGATTCCATTAACCTGTTATTAACTAATGAACTTCAGTACTTGCATGGAATCCAAATTGCATATATTACTTGCTGCTATGCCCGGCCCCCCCACTCAGGTTTCAAAATGACCGCATGCGTGTTGCCAAAATGTCCTTTTCGTAACAAAAGAAAAAGGACGAGCCGTATTGACTTTACACACCGGACTTTTGCTGAAAAGGGGGGGGTGCGGAAAAAGGCTCGTATACAAAAGAAAAAGGTCGAGCCGTATTGACTTTACACACCGGACTTTTGCTGAAAAGGGGGGGTCGGTTGGAACACGCATATGCGTACCCTAAATAACACTGAGTGGGGGGGGCCGGGCTGCTATGTCTGGCAAGCTTTCAGGTTATCAAGAACAACCTTTTTTTTTAAAGTATGCATAAAATTTGAATATGTTAGTGAAAAGGTGTATTAGATCACCTTAAAATTCTTGGAGAAAGCATGTTTATATTATATTCAATTATATTTTTACTTATTGAAAGTGTATGCCTTTCTATGTTTAAAAAAAATAATTCTTGGCTATAAATAACAAAGTATTTGTTATCTTAATTTCTTTTCAGCATTCACACTGAAGGTGCGACCCAACGAGTCATCGCCCTCCGTTCTTCGTCAGGCCATGCGGGTGAAGATAGAAGGCGTTAAGTATAGACACAATAAGAAACATAACCTGTAGATATCTAACCTTCATCCTCCCTTCCATGTAGTTATTAGTTATTAGTGTAATTAGTAGTAGAAATTTACTTGCCATATAGCTCTTATCTAGTATACTTTTTAAAAACTACTTTACACATGATAGATATGTTTGAAATTTATAAAGATGTTTTCTGTTTACTATCATTATTGCCAAAGACCAGCTGACATGTTCTGCCTTTCTTAGCTTGCCAATGACAGGGTATTCATGTATTGCAACTTGTATATATATTTTTTTTTTACTTTTGATGTGGAGTTTAAACACCAGAAGAAAAAAAAATTACTATTTCCAAAGATATGCAGTGTTATAAGCTTGATATATTCTGCCTTTTTATGTAGAAAATTTACTTTGCCATACATTAGCTCTATCAAGTACTTTGTTGACAAACATTCATATATGATAAATATGTTTGAAAGTTTGAGAAAAAAAAAAGTTTTTTTTATTACATGTATGTTAATGTTTAGTGCATATTACTATCTTGCCCCCCCCCCCCCCCGAAAAAAAAAAATCAGCTGATGTGTTCTGATTACAGATACTTGCCAAAAACAGGGTATTCAGTGCAACTTGTACATTCATATATATAGATATATATATATTTTTTTACTTCTAACATAGAGTTTATACAATCGGTACAAAATATCATTATTGCCAAAGATATGCATTTATTGCATTGTACCTATCAGCTTGATTCATTCTGCCTTGTCTTTGTAGAAATTTACATGCCGTACAATTTGGTTCTATCCAGTACTGGATATTTGCTAACCTATATGATATGATATATGATACGTATACATGTATCATTGCCAAGGACACCAGGTGACATTTTCTACCTTTTTATACACTAGCTTGCCATGAATTAATGGCAATGCAACTAAAACAATTAATGCTAACATACATGTATAGTTTATTTATATATTTTAAAAAGCCATCTTACGTATAGTTGTTGTTGTTTTTGTACTAGCTTGCTTCAGTGTGTTCTACGTGTTTCATATTCTACCTCTTCCATGTGACTGCTTGCCATAAAATTAAATCATATAACTGCACCATATAACTGTATATAATTTTTTACGTGTATGTAATGAAGCTGACAACTCTTAATGGAGATATTGGAAATGTTGGTGATTGTGACATCATATACCTTAACATTGTACAATAATTGTTTTGTTATTAAATTCCTTTTTTAACATATAATTTTGTTTCTCATTCTATCCATCAAGACGTTTATAGATTTCAGTGATCAAGAGACTGCGTGATCGATTCTGAGAGTATAAGTTTATATGGTGTAACCAGCTAGGGCTTATTCAACACAATCCATTTGCACAATGACTATGACAATGAGAGAATGGTTGACTCTGAAGTGGTGTACTGGAACTGAGAGTGGTTTGAGAAGTATCTTTGAATGGATCAATGTTACAATGTGTGTCAATCCATGAACAACAAATACAACAGCATACATCACTCAGTAACAAAAATAGAAGAAAAATAGATTTAGATTTCAAAAATACCTTTATTTTAAAAAAATAGGGGAAAAATAGGTTTGTAACTAAAAAATAGAAAAAAAATGTATTTAGAGAAATATATTTTTTATATATTTTGCGAGGCTCCTCTATTTTTTTGCTATTTTTTACTTGTTCCAAAACATATAGGCCCAAAAAAATTTTTTTTCTATTTTTTTCCTATTTCCAATATATTTTTTTACTATTTTTCGACTATTTTTAGGGAAAGAAAATAGATAAAAAATATATTTTTTTAATATTGTTTTTGTCTATTTTTGGTCTATTTTTTGACTATTTTTAAAACTATTTTTTTACTATTTTATTTTGACTAGGGACATCATTCACACACACAAAATTGTTGTGCGATTGTTCTGAGATTCACTGCTCTTAAATGTGCTGTAGGGCCATTGTGTGTTTACTATCAGGGAGATTGGCGCCCGCTTATTGGCGCCGGGTCTTAGCTCCTCCCAATTAAGGACGTATAACCGTTCGCACACAAAATTTCTTGCCTCATAGATACGGACTTCTTTTTACAGCCTGCTCCTATCCGAACAACGTATAAATAACGTTTACACAGGGAAAAATTTACTATAAAGCTGTTGAGTTAAAGAGCTTTAATACGATGAATTTTACCCCCGTGTGAAAAGTCTGTATGATGAATAGTGAACTCGCAAGAAAAAAATTTCATAGAAATAAACATTGTATGTAGGACATTGTTTTGAATAGGTCACTCAACGGCCTGAAAGCTGGTCAATCAATCTACTCATCAAGTGCTTGCTCACGATAGGCCCTGCCACATAAATGTATGTGGCTTTTTAATGATATGACATTCACATTGTTGTTTTGAAACCTGATTTTTTTTTTTTTTAATGACATCATGTGTGCAACAAGCCTCAAACCTCTGTATCACTATATACATGTATACAGACTTTTGTTTTACAATATTCATCCTATAACAAAATTATAAGTCATTGTATAACTATATGGTTTTTGTAATGCTATACAATCAATGTTGCTAGTGTGAATGAGGGGAACAGGATAATATCTATGCCTGTGAAACGGAATCCAGAACAAAACATTGCTTCATCCATCAACTGATGAATCCGTTAAAAGATTTAATGGGCAGCTGAATTGGTGCAATTGAAGGATTTTCCTACGAGTCTGAAATTGATTTTCTAATTGATTGGAGGTGAATAGAAAAAATTAATCTCTTTGGATCAAACACTTGCAAAAAAAAAAGGAAAGAAAAAAAAAGGAAAGAAAAAAAAGGAAAGAAAAAAAGAAGCATGTATGGGTGTATCATATCATAATACAGTTTTAACTGCTCGATACATCTCATTTCACACCTGTATGAATGTAAATGTATCTTGCATAATGTGAATTTAATGTTATGTGTTTCAATGGATAAACCAATACTTACCAAAGTGTTGGGTAGATCTTCTTCTTTGCCAAGTCTCCCTGTATATTGAAGAGTGAATATTACAGATGGAGAAAAAAGAAGACGGAAGGAACCAGACAAAGAGAGAGAGAGAGAGAGAGAGAGAGAGAGAGAGAAAAAAAAATGTAATTAATATATCTCATTTCATTAAAACAAATACATTCAGATGATATTACCAGTGAGTATGTCTTAAAATATACAATGATAGAAAAAGATATAATTTACTGCAGATGCTTCACTTAAATATTAGATACCATTGCCATCTTCTTTATTCTGCATCCCTCACATCTCCCTCACTTTCTCTCCCTCTCTCTCTCTCTCGCTCTCTCTTGCTCTCTCTCTCTCTCTCTCTCTCTCTCTCTCTCTCTCTCTCTCTCTCTTGCTCTTGCTCTCTCTCTCTCTCTCTATTTCTCTCTCTCTATTTCTCTCTCTTGCTCCCCCTCTTCCTCTCTTTCTACCTCTCTCTCCCTCTCTTTCAATCTACACACATAAATCAATGAATCTAATCATATATGTAACCAATTGTTTCCTGTCTACAAATGTCAACTCCTACCCAATTCACCTGGAAGGCCTTATTAATCTAGAAACCCATTAAAGACTCAATCCAAAATGAATGGAAATGGATCAATATTGGTCAATGGCATTGACTCTTATATCCTTTAATTGCAGCTGGCTTTTATATTCAGAGTGGGTAAAAAAAAAATCACTTTATTCATTTAAATTGTGCATCATACACTATTTACTCAAAGCCAAGCAAATTAAGCTTAGTAATTTATACTGTGAATAATTTACTATCGTTATCAAAGTAAAGCAAAAGCAGCGACTTCAATAGAAATATTACAACACTGAAAGTATTCCAATGAATAATTTTGTGATATTTGTAGACGTACATTTAGGTACATCAGCAAAGTTTAAAAATCCTACTCATCATAAAACATACGGCTTTCATTTATCAAAAATTTAACCTCAATTCAAAAGACAAACAATTATAATAATTTTGCTGCACGAGACTGGACATATTTGCTCTCTCTATGGCTTTATCTACATCTGAATTTAGCAACACCTTATCTTGCATGACTTGCAAAAATATCTTGATAACACACAAAAGAATACATTTCATGACCAGTTGTAATCTACAATGATAAGAGTCATCCTTGATTGAATTTTCTTTCTCATCTATCAAAATGAAGGGAAAAAAATTGCCAAGTCATTAAAATTTATAAAACCTTCCAATCAATGTGAGTAGCAATTCCGCCGAGGCAACTGCAATAAGCAATTCTTACAAGAATTGATTCAAAAGTGCCTGGGAATATATTAGCATTCTTCAGGACGAGAAATTATTCATGGAAAATCTTTTCAGAAAAATGATGTATCAGCAATTTACAGGTCCTAGTAAAAACAATCGTAGGAATATACATGTACTGTACATGAGGATGACACATTGAACATTGAAAGGAAGTCAAAATATTAAGCAATTTATTTTCTTTCATAACGGTCAGAATTTGGTTTGTACATGGCGTAGATAAAATAAACTATTATTGAATGGATGTTTTGTCTACATGTATGTTGTAATGATACCCTTTAAAATGTAGACTGAGAAGTAGAAAAGAAGCAGCAAAATGTGAAAGGGGGTTAAAAAATATTGTGCACTTTTTAAGGACACTACATATGTATTAACTTATTAATGATAGACTTATATACTAGTCAAGGCTACATGGGGCAATTTTAGTACCGGTACATAATACCATTAGTGACAAGGTTCACCAAGACCTAAGCCAATAGAGATGAAAAAGTATCATTCGACAATTGGATTATCATCTGGAGTGGAGATGGAATAAATTATCAAGTCAACTAATGAATGCCCAGCAGAGGTGGCTACAGTCACTATGCAAATACAAGAAGCCGTCATCATTATCTTCCTCATGAGCTTATCAATTATCCTGCATTCAGACAACCAGAATTCATCGTTTATGGTTTTGCAGTTTTACAATTTATATCTTGACTTCCTTGTTTGCAATGTACTTTTGAGTAAAGAGACTTACAAGTAGGCTACAGTATACAATGTACAGTATCACAAGGCATCAAGAAGGGAAATTCCCTCTTGACATCCTTATACCTTATAATGGTAACCACAAAAAAAACTTTAAAAGCAGGGGTTAGGGGTGATGACACAACAAAGGGTTTTACAGATTTTGAATCTCCTTTTCTTTATAGATGAATAAATAATGGGGGGAAAAATACACAAACAAATTACAGACAGAAGAAGTCACTTTTGTCTGTCCACTTATCAACTAGGGTTATCACCAGTGAATAACACCCTTAGTGCAGGAGAGATTTTAGAAAATATTTCCAAGGGCTATCCCCCCCCCCCCCCCCCCCCCCACCCAGACAAGGAAACATACAAGGGTAATGTACTAAACATGACAATGCATTCTTTCAACTGGCAAACTTGTTTTGGTCCTCCAACATCCAATAATCCCATTTCATTTAATGTCATGTGGGTTTAAAGAAGATATAACTCACCCCTCCCTTATAAGTATACTGATGTATTTCATGTCTTATGAAGAGGCTAAAAAGTGCACTTAACATGACATATGTTCCACTCCCGATTTGTCAAAATGCACGGTGACAAAGTAATTACATTTGGAGGGTTTCGTTATGCATTTTCAATCTCATTAAGGCAGATGCAATGAGGGAGTTGATTAGATAAGAGCCAGGTACGCCGCTCGTGCCAGAGGCGACTTCAACTTGCCGGAAAAAAAAGGAGGGAGAATATTGCCAATATCGCAAGGCAAATGCATCGCTCGCCTAGCCTCTTATAATTAACCTTGTCCAGATAGAAACACTTTTTTATATTACAAGAATAGGCTATCATTGGATATATGACATTCAAACTCTATCCTTCCATATATCCCAGTAATCTATTCTGTCTAACTCAATACCTGTACATCTTTCAAAAGATCTTTAATTGTAATAAATGGATTCAAAGTAAATACAAAACGATGAAATGATTAAAAAGTATGATAATTCCAATCAGTGTCGGAAGAGGTTTAATCTCATCGAAATAATTACCTCCATTTATCCTGGGCTTTTTCTCTTCCATTTCTTGTATTAATAATGTTACAAAATCTAATTAATAAACATAGTCAATGTCATGTTGTTTTAAGTAAATGTATACTGCAGAATATTAATCCAGTTCAAAGTAGTGAGGAACTAAGATGTTTTTGATGGTTCCAAGAATTCAAATGATCATGTTTTTACCGGTACCATCTTCTTAAAGGGTGAAATGGTCAAGTCAGTGCACATTCCATGGGTTTGAAAATTGATTGGATTCAAATGTTGATTGTACATGACACAATTGCTCAGCATCCTTCTACATCCTTCATTCATATCTTCAACCCTCAACCCAATTAATACTGAATAACCTAACCTGCACATGTTACTCTAATCCTAATCTAAAACACCACTCCAACCTACATATAAGCCCTCATCCTTGTTTTTCTTAAAACAAAGATTGGAGCAAATTGAATGTCAAAAAGAGCAAATGCTGAATCTCCCTAATGTTAACTCGTCTGGAATGCTAAGCCTGGGTTAATTTTGGATTAAACCACTTGGGAAAGCTTCAAAGAAAATGAAACCGCCTCCAACCAACAGGAAAGTGAGATAATAACCATAATCCTCAAGCATTTAATCCACAGATCTACATGTATGTATTGAAGGCCTACTATTTCGCAATGTAGTATGTTTCACTGGAGCAATATTTTCAAGGAATTCTGCCATTTGGCGTAACTTGCCATATAAACGCACATCATTAAGATACGTTTTCAAATTAATTTCTATGATCACTGTTGATTCAAAGTATTAACATGAACTTGACTAGTAAAGATGAGATTGATACTTACAGAAGCACCTAGAACAACAAAGATATGAGGAACCTCATCTTCCTGATTCATGCTGTCCCTCAGCAAGGAAAGACCACTCTCCTAGAGGATGGAAGAAAACAAAAACAATTATAGATTTTAATCATGTTTGTACAAACTGAGTGAACAAATCAATATTCCCAGACTCAGAATGAACACACATTGTATACAGGCAGCAGCATTTTCCTTTTGTCTTTTGAAGAAAGAATTAATGTCAGACTCAGATGGTATTAAATACATATCATATGTCTGGAGCCAAAATGGCATTGACATAAACTCATACTGTTACTTCTATATATTGAACACCCTTCTGGCTTCAAACAGACAATATATTTTTATTCCATCTGTAAGTACATCATTCAAAGCCTTTTTTTTTTTTTTTTTAATTTAGAGTCACTTCTTTTAGAGCCTCACATCTTTGTGTATAAAGAAGCATAGAGATAATGTACATGAATATTCTTGTACTCATGCCATACTGTATTTTACTTTCTGATTGAGTCTGTTCCAGAAGACTACATGTAAAACGACTCTGTAAAGATTCAGAGTCCTGTCCATCAATCATTTCTACACTGTAATCAACACACAAAATGAAATGTAAGTAAAAAAAAAAAGAGCAAAATATTTAGTGGCATTTAGGTAGACACATGTCCCAAAGTAGATGCACATTAGGCATGTACATGTAATTCATGTGCACATGACCAGATGTTACCAATAACTCTAGCTTCTGTAAGTCACCAAACTGTTGCAGTGTTGCAGCAATTCTGTACTTGGTTTAGATCATGTGATTTCCTTCTAAAGAGTAAAGATGACACTCAAGTTAATTGGACCAGTTCCTGCAGGAATTGGGGGGTCAAGAAAAGTCTTGTTTGTTCAATACGCTGGGTGATGAAATGATGACATCGTTAAAAGGAAATGCGTTTAAACTGACAGGGGTTGAACAAAAAAATCTTTGAAAATCAAATATTTGTTAGCTGTCCTTGCTGTGAAAACATCTAACCTGTTATCTTTGTAGGGGAAGGGTGGACACACTATACTACAGTTATAAGAACAAGACAGGCAATTAGTAGCAATTGTAGAAGTGGGAAAGAGGATGTTTTTATTTGTTCATTTTTTAATGAACGTCTCTGTTATTCTGAAACCCCAGAGAGCCCATGTGGTCAAATAGTTTGTGAAGATTTTTAGTATCACACAATAAAATTACATGCAGATGTAGAAAAGGGTGCTCTAGCATTCGCCCCCGTTACAATTGTTCTGGTCTTTATGTTAGGGTTAGTGTTGCAATTAGGTTTTACTTTAGGTTTAGGCTTGTGTTAAACTTTTGGAGTAGTGTCTGGCTCAGGGTAAGGCATTTAATTAATCTAGAAAATCAACTAGTTTGCAATGCATAAACTCTTGTAAGTCTTAAAATATTACAGAGGGTCTGAGCTAGGATACTAATACAGAGACCACACTCAATATGCTCTGTACTGTAGCTGCTCCTCATAGCCAGAGAGTGACAGAGTTAGGCTCTGCTCAAGTCTAAAGACTTTGTTTTAGTGTCAAATTAGAGTCTGTGCCTGCAGGTTAGAAATGTACTGCTGAGCAATTATTGCAGGAGCAAGTAATGTACATGTTCCTTCACAGAAAGTTATTGCAAACAGTCCCTTTTTTCGATCAAGAATATACTGTAGATACATAAACATTTGTTCTGAAGGCAAATACATGTGCAAGGCGGGCACACAGCACAAAATTCTTCCCAGAACATTGGCCAAATGGAACCTTCTCGTAGATCGTAAAAACCCAAAATAAAATCCAAAATATCTAGATACTTCTATTGGAGGCCCGTCATTAAATTTCATGCTAACCCCAATGTGGCTGCATGCAGCAACTATATCTAGAATTGGATACTGATTGCAGTAACCAGCAAAAGCAGGAATTTCAATAATTTTCCTGACATTTGCTACTACTCCACAAAGCAATAATTTGGCAAATATGTGTTTGTACCTGCAGTTGAATATGGACATATGGTGCATGATAATGCCAAGCAAAAATCTGATATATGAAAACCAACTCTAGACTGCTGCTTATATTCAAATCAAGAACTGTGGTATGGTTCATGAATGCACTTTTATAAATGAGGCATTTAGACAGATACAGTCATGTACCCTAGATCTGTAGGTTCATGTCTAGTATACATGTTTAAACTGAACATAATGTACACACATACGCCGCCATGCCATGATCAGGGATCTGATAGGGGTTTGGGATACATGGCCTTTTAACATGATGGTGCCAGCATTAATAGTACGGGTTCATTTTCATGGGCGCCAATTTAAAACTACAAGTGTAAATTCCTATGGTGAAATTAATGCTATATTTTGTGGCTTAGATAGCAACTACTGTACATGTACATGTACATCTATAAGATCTCTCAACATATTTATTGTAATCATGATCAATGGATGTGACTTTTTTTTTAATCTTCTAAAAGTGAAACTACAATGAAGAATGATTCCTATGCCAGGGAACACTTCCCTTGTTAGCTTCATTTTATTATTCTTTTAAAAGCATAGTTAATGATACAAAATATGTGCAAAATAAAATACAGATATGAAACTGTAGTTCCGACTACTAAGTACTTGAAGAAAATGGATTAAATAAATATCGAGCAATGAGCTTTTCCAAAGCTCTTTGGAAGAGCATAGAGATGTTATTTCATAACGTCTAATTATGCGCTATACAAGAACTGAACTATTATTATTATTATTATTCACTATACAGGGAGCTATTTGTTAACTTAATACATATAAGTTTTAGTTAACCTGTACCTGAGCTAGCATTCAAGGAAACTTTGGCAAATGCAACTTCTTTACCAGTTTAATAGGAAAGAACAGTTTAGGGTTCGGGGCATTTACACTATGAGCAAAAACCATCAGGTTTTCTCACAATCCTGAGTTTTGTTGGAAGTTGCTATGCAACTACCCATAAACACAACAAATAACACAACTCAGTGTGGGTTTTTGAAATGCCCGTGGAAAATCCACACATTATTCCAGTGCAGTGAAAAAATACACGGGGGCTCAGGGCGAAATAGCCCCCGAAATGCCCAAAAGAGCCCCCGAAAATCAGAAAAGAGCCCCCTTAAATTTGCATAGACTTCAATGCAAAACAAATTTTAGAATGTTATTTTCATGCAGGCAAGGTTGAAAAGTAGCCCCCGAAAAATGAATAATAATTTTTTCCCTGTTCCAGTGTCAACACACCAGTGAATTATTTCGGATTTTGGTTTTAAATTAGCTTCTCCTCCCTTCCATGCTAATGCCTGCAGAGCAGCGACAAGTGACAACTCACAATGAAAGAGCTTTTATGGGTTTTTTATTAATATAATTCGTAGTTCAAATAAATCAATGGTTTTTCAAAGTGTTTTTCTGCAATGTAAAGAGTCCCTTTGTTGACACTAAGAGCAAAGACTGAAATATTACAAGCAATTTCATTACAGGTAGCATTTAGTAAAATACTATCAGTGGCGGATCCAGGGGGGTAAAAAGGGGGCACGTGCCCCCCCCCCCCGGCCCCCAAAAAATGTGTTAAAATCAGCCCTAAATTCGCCCAAAATTTACTGAAAAACAGGGGCGTGCCCCCCTGGCCAATCTCTTTCCCACCGTGTGCCCCCCCGGCAAGAAATTCCTGGATCCGCCCCTGACTATGATTAAAAAATATAAAAGTAGGAAATTGTATTTATCGTAACAAAAATTGGAGATCAAGTATTGACAATTCTAAAAATAATTTATATCAAACAAAAGTCAATTATATCTCATTCTTTTCTATTTCAAGATTCTTCACAACTCGAAAGCTGGACTAAATCTAAATCTTCACATCTTCCATTCAAAAGAACCTTTTGTAGTAGGTTTCAGAATGAGTCAACTGGTATTCAAATACATACAAAAACACTCTATTTGGTGAACAATTCTATTCAGGAAGCAAGTTAGAGTGTAAAGCTGCAGCTAATACGACAGTGTGTATGTAAAAGAGCTTACAACACTACTGTACATGTAGCGTATACTGACCAACCCTTGGACCATTGGACCTTCGTCCACTACATTAAAAAGTAACAAGTAATCTCATCTTACCAACTCTTTATTTGTCAACCTTGCCATGTCTGACTTGACAATATGTGCATTCATCCAAGGATTTAGGGTACCTGGAAGTATATTCTGTAACTTTAGAAAACTCTGAAAAAGTCGGTCCTGTAGTAACTTGTTACACAATAATAAGTAAGTTGTCTGTGCAATACAGATGTGGCATTCCAATGAATCTCAGTAATACTAACATAATCAATATTGTAATTTCAATTATAAATAACATTATAAATTAAGAACTTCAGTCATTAAACCAAAATTATTAATATCCTGTGACTTTTTCTGTCAAATCCCTTCCCAGGTCTGCTCTGTGATTTCATCTACCATTAAACTGTGGGAGATTTCATTTGATAATATACGATAGTCAAGAGGCACAAAGTTTCACCTGCAAGCTGGGTTCAACTTCAAAGGAGGCCAACAAGCATCACTACCGTTAATCATAACCAGCTAGTACAATCCATGTCATAACCAAGATCTTCCTCAAAACCTCATTAAACTTACATTTCTACACACAAAAAGTCACTACAAATGGCCAGAAAAAGATGACAAAAACTCACCAACAAAATTTAGTTCAATAACCGATGAATAGGTTGAGTGAAGAATTCAAATAAGTTTGTAATGTCTACTTCCTTGTGTTCACACAAACAATTCCAAAGAGCCGATCAACCATGAGATACCAATACGCCAGGGTCCCTTTCAGAAAAATAGCACAACACTTGAACACTCCCCCGCTTGGGCTGACAAACAATGACTTGGCAAATCTGCTGGCATCTATCTTCCTAACTACAGAGAGAGAGAGAGGGTGGCATTTTGGACTCCGAACTAAGCAAGCACACCTACCCAGACTAACCGAGACACCAAGCTATTCCAAGCTTTTCATCTCTGCTGCTGTCTTGTCACTCAAATTAGATTACATTGTGTAAATGAGTGTGTTATCATTCTGGGCACATAGGTATATTGCCCCTGCCCTAAACGGCCTGTGTGTGCTTACTTGACTTGCACTAATAAAACTGTGAGAGGGTGCTGTTCACATATTTAATCAATACACCATTGTTGCTAATATCAAAAGTAATGCAAAGTTTTGGGAAATTTTGAAACTTGAATGGATAGTAAATTCTTTAAAATTTTGATAAAATTGGATGCCCCTGTGGATGTATTATTAGCACTAGAAAATTTAGCCCTAAAAACACTGCTGCTTTCGAGCAATTGAATAATCAAAAATTTACCAGTGTTCTTGGTAAATTTCAAACATTTCAATTAGCGCCTAAGGCCATTCTATGGTAGCTGTGACCATGAACATCTCAGGGCATGCAGTTCTGATAAATAATTTCCAAACAGGAATAGCAAATCGGTCGATTGTTGTCAAGAAACATTTTTTTCAAAGCTAATGTATTATCAGTCTTGAGAGCGCGCTATACAACATTAAGAGTTTATTATTTACAATTTCATCACTTTAGACTCGATTTCAACCGCGACAACGATCATTGAATAGTAAAATTGCATATGCTTCCAATGTGTTCATTTGAACCAAATTCATAACCCTATACCAAAACTTTGAAATACCTTTAATACATGCAGGACTATTAAAATGAAATATGGGCATGACAGTACTAGACTATTTCTAATTTTTTTTAATTTTAATTTTTCTTAATATTCACAAAATGTTCTGCTTTTTATTCTACTTTGGGGTATTTTTTCTAGAGGGAGGAAGGGGGAGGGGGAAAAGGAGTGGAGGTGGAGGCAGAGGAGGGAGGGGAAAGGAGGAAGGGGAGAGGTGGTAACTGGAGAGTGGCAGTGGTGGATTGGATGGGGATGGGGAGAGGTATGGTATAGATACTTATTTCACAAAGATTACATACTTTCAATTCAAATCTTCATTACCTAGATATAATAAAATAATAATATACTGATAAAAAAATGTATAATAGCTAGGGGGGGGAACATACATTGTAGACTTAACATCATGGGGACCAAGTGTTTTGTCTTGTCTTTCATTGGGAAACAATTGCAGTGACTTCGAAATGGCTGCCTTAAATTTTCAAGTCTCAACTTGTCTGAGTTTTATTATTCATATATTAATTTATTATGTATTTATTAGCTTTATCCTTAATGATTTATGATGAGAAAGGATTACTCATTTCACCTTTAAGGTAGTTTCTATGAGATCCTGTTTACAAAACATACATAGAAAATGAGAAATTGAACCGACCTCTTTCTGTATCTCAGATTTTAGAACATTCACTTGAGGCAACTTAAAATCACTTTCTGTCAAACATCAGAATATCATCTTCAGAAAATGTGACTAGTAGATCCATGAAGTGTTCAGTTGAATAGAGAAATTCTATCCTGCTATCAAGTTAGTTTCAATAATAGAAGAAAAAAAAGAGATCCCACAGAAAAGGTGAGGAAACTAAAATAAAACTTGGTAGTTGGTACCGTACCAATTTTTGAAATTATGCACACACAAAAAAGAAGAGAATAAGTCTCTGTAAGTAAACACCCCAACTCAGGGAAATATCCTGGGCGGTCATTTTGTGAACTGACTACAGAATAAAAATGAAAACTTTATTCCAAGAAACCTGTCTCAACTAAGACTTTCGTGCCTATAGCAGATAATTGGCAGATTGGACAAAAATAAACAGAGCTCCTGGTCTACAATATACTAAAGATTTAAATAACTATCATGATCTGGACAATAATTATGAATGGTCAAGATTTTTTCCCCTGTCACTTCGAATTTTAGCAATACTTTACAGCCTTGTATTGGCTTCTAAACTAAGTTGAATCATGAATGGCCCCCGATTTCCTGAATAGAACCCTCGGATGTCTTCGGTATCATCACTCACGCCGCAGAAAAGAATGAGAAACCCGGAAGAACATGCATGCCATCCACGCCATTCCCCATGCCTTTTCTCCCGGCCAGACCTGAATTATTAAAACAATCTATCCACAGCACGGGCATACCGGTATCAAATTAAAAACACAATACTCTACATACCTAATCAGCTTCAATTATTGCACAGTGTGAGAAAAAAATTCGCATCACGAATAGAGATTTCCCTTTACCCTCGCCCTCCACGCGTTTCGTTTGGGTAGTGTTCTATTGCTTCAAATCACGCATGCGGCGCTGATCACTTTCAGCTCTGCATAATACTATACAGTCAGACCGCAGCGCGCGCGTTAATGAGGCTGAAAGCTGATTTTTATTCAGCGATATCTGGCGATCACATAACATTTACGTCTGCTGAATTTCCATGCGCTTTTCAGTGAGATTTGTAGGGGTGTACATGTAGCTGCGTTTTGGGTTGTTAACTTCATTCAACATGGCAGCATGCAACGGAAAGTCACTCTCGAGATTTTCAGCATCAGTTTGATATGTAATTTGCCATATTTCGCAATTTGTAAACAATAATTTTTCACAACTTTTATTGACGTTATTTTTGTAACATTTCAACTGCTGTTTTGACCCGGGAATTTCACTTTTGGTTCCTGACTTTGGGACAAAATAAATTTGTCCACTTTGAGATTCGTTCGAAAGATGAAAAGTCACTCATCAAAAATATGTCAAAACCTAATTGACGCAAAATCATGTTCTTTTTATAATCATAGTAATTAAGACCCTAAAAACCCGGAAATTACCAATTTGTTCTTTTTATGATAGCGCGAAATTGTGTGATTTCATACTCGTGCACGCTCGCCGTCTGAGCAATGACAATGCATAACTGATTATTAAACTCCAGGGAGCTCCGCCGCGCCATCGACTAGCCGAAAAAAAAATTAGAAAAATGATTAAAAAAGAAATATAGTAGAAAAGAATCAAATACATGGCAGGTGAGGTATTTGATCTCGGGTCCTTAAATTGTTGCCAAGACGGTTTAAGCGCACGTGCATTACAGGCGCACGCCACAACGCATGGTTACCAAAACGTGGTATTCAGAATAATAATAAACCAAAGCAAAACATATGTGACGTAGTTGACGTAGTTGACCAATCAGAACTCTCTATTATCACATCGGCAAAATTTACTACTATTTTTAATTATTCATGAACATGAGCGTGATCTTTTTTGGTTCCTGACTTTGGGACAGCGTAAAATATAATAATTTTGATATCATTGTAAAGAAAAATATATATGCTTTATGCTGATTATAACATCTTCTTGACGCAAGAATGATTTCTATGTGAAAATCAGCCCTACTCTTTAGATAGATTTATCGTCGAAAAACCCCATTTTCAAGGCGAAATATCTGTTTCCAAAATATATCTAACATGATTGTCATATAAGTATATAGAGAGTTCAACTTCTTATCTTTAAAATAAGACCCATTTCATGAGAAATGAACAATTATAAAGGCAAAAATTGCCGATCGGGAAGACCGTCTGCACTACTCATTACGTATGCAAGACACGTAAATTCTTGCATACGTGCTGAATAAAATAGAGGGTTTTCGCACCGGCTGCGGTCTGACTGTATACTGTGCATGCAAGCGCTAGCGACTGGGCATGGGGATCGTAGCAATAAGGGGCCGGAGAACTGGGGATGTTAGCAGCGCATTTATCTGGCGCATTCTGGCGTATATGAACTCCCATAAGCGCAGTGCAGTGTGGGAGAGTATGAGCGCGGCGCCTGGATTTGCCCCCAGCTTTTGTAATTCGAGACCGTCCGAGAAAAACGACACACCCACCTTCTAGTAGCTAAATGCCATGTCGTTTCGTTTTAAATGAAAACACGGATTTAACAAATGATATAGATGAATTACAACAATGCAACAATTAAAATGGAAATAAAAGTCTAAAAATGCAATCTGTTTTTGACACAACACCCAACAGGTAAAACTAGATCTACAGTAGATTCTAGGTCTACCAGTGTCACAGAGAAACGAACAATAATTGAATTGGTTAGGAAATATTAGTCTACTACTAGTATTAGTGAGGCTATTGATGAAGCCAGAAACATACACCAAGGCGAAGCAATTAGTAAAGCATGCTAAGGTACAAACCCAGAGATTTACAAGATCCATTACCCTGCCTTCGTCTGTCATTCTGAAAAAGTTATTTGACAATCAAGGAAGAAGTATGATTTTATGACCGCTCTGCTTTGGCGTCTGATGCAAAGTGAGAAGTGCTAATTGATTCCAAAAATGTCGACCCAAACCAGGAAACAGGAACAATCAGGAACAAGGATAGAAGAATGGCATCACCCAAACTGAAACTGTGACCCACTGCTAGTGGCTATATACAGCTGAACAGGATATTTGTTTCCAATTCAATCACTTGTCTCTCGTTTCAGTTGAGTACACAAACTAAATCACTGACAAGTCCATGGGGCATACGTGCCGTGGAAGCTAGACGAGGTGGAGGGCGAATTGCACTTTACTCTTATAAAATTATTCATTTACTCTCGATCTCGCTGTCTCATTTTAAGCGCGCGTTCGCCACCGGATCATCAAAGCGCGGCCAATTCAAAGCATATGCAGCGCCAGGATATGTTAAGAAAAGGGGTGTGTCACAGGCGCGGTCGTGACGTCACATCGCGTTCAGGTCGCGTGCGCGTTGCGTCGGCGAAAATACCAGCCCCGCCCCGCCCACCTGATGCTCCTTCTCCACTCATAATTTCCAAAATAGTGAAGCATTCATCTAAGAGTGAGTGAAAAATTTGACGTGCCGTGGAGACATCTATATTAAATTGGTATCTATATAGATTCAATCAGACGGGGGGGGGGGGGGGGGGTATTACCAGGCACGTAGCCATGGGGGGGGGGGGCACGGGGGGCACGTGCCCTCCTAAATTTCCAAGATCGGTTGAACTTTTTTAGACCCCTTTTTTTTACCTCGATCGATTACATGTATGTGCCTCCCCAAACATCAAACTCTGGCTACGTGCCTGGGTATTACGTCTGAGACTATCGTTATCCGAAGGACTTGATTCACTTTCGAACCATCTGAGTCAGGTCTGTATGAGAAGACAGAGATCTGGGGGCGTTTCATGAAACAACGGTCGGTGGTTTTCACCGACTAATATCAACAAAAAAAATTGTCACTGACTTTTTTCCAGGCCTGTGATTGGTCAAATTTAGTCAGCGCTGACTAAATTGTCGGTGAACATGATCGGTGAAAACCACCGACCAGGCGCGTACACAGGGGTGGGGTTAAGACCCCCCCCCCCCCCCTTTGGATTTTTTTTTTTTTAATTAAAAAAAAAAAAAAAATATTATTATTCCCATAGCTGACCTAAAAAGGTGATCTCCCCCCCCCCCCCAACGGAGCCAAATGTCAATTTTTTTCAAATTTCGAAACAAAAAAAAGAAGAAAAAAAGTGTCACCCCCCCCCCCCCCCCCCCCCCCCCCCCCCCCCGCTTATTCAGCGGCTGGCTGAGTCGTTGCGAAATTTATTTTGAAAATTCATTTCTGATCTGATCAAAATAATGAAAGTATCTCTCTAGCAAACCATCTTTTTTAAAGTCCCGATTGAATATAGGGGCATATCCAGTGGGTCGGAGCTGGCTGACGGCCCTACTCTCTAAAAAAAATCGAGTGATCACGGACGTCACTCCTCTGGAGAGTAAAAATGTAGTGAAAATAGAGTGAACATTCACTCTTTTCTTCTTAGAGAGCACTCTAAAATCAATCGATTTTCACTCCTAAACAAGTGATCACGGACGTCACTCCCAAGAAAGTGAAAATTCACTCTTTTTTTAAGAGAGTACTGTTGGCCCAATCGAGAGAAAAAAAGTACGGGCAGTATACATAGCTGACAAGGAACATTTCATCCCTCGCCGCGGCCCCTCCCTGAACTGAAACAGGACTCCGCCCGCCCCTAACAGGGTTCGTGGCGTGTTGTTTAGTTATGGTACCACAGACTTATACAGAGAAGATTTAATTACTGATCTGGGTATGATATAGAACTGCAACAACAGTTTCAATCAGGGGCGATGATTTATTTCCAGGCAAGACGCTATTGGAGCGGGGGTGGGGGCTCACAGACTCAACACAACACAGTTTCTTTGCTACTATAGGGCTTTCAAATTCAACAACGGCTCTATCACTGGGACGGCAATTTCTTGTCAAGACGCGGGGGGGGGGGGGGGGGGCTGCGAGCGCACAAAGGCTTTTGCCATAGGTCGCATTATATTCCAATTATAAAATGTATAAAGCAATATCACGAGTTCACATTCTCACTTTAGCTTTCTGAAGGCATATCGCCAGTATTTCGACTATAGATAAGTTTCCATTTTTCTCATCAATGAAAATAGTAAAAACCGTGGTATTATTTAGTGAAAATTATGTATTACGGAAGTCCTAAGCAATAAAACGTCCAACTTAGGACATTTGACATTCTGTTTTGCACCAATTGGATTCTGTTGGGTCGGGGCAATAATTAGGCCTATTCCCCTACTGGCCCTACAACAACTAATAGAAATTAATATTTTTATTCCAAAATCAAGACGAAATCTGACGATTCTTTACCATTAATTTGTGGTTTATTAGCTCGATCATCTAACAACACTTGAAATTAACATATTCCAATCCAATAATTTGCATATTCAAAACAATATCAAAGCGCAGTCTAACAAACCCCCTCCGTTACGTTCAGATTGCAACAGATAGGCCTACGCCCCATAATACCCTTAAGATAAATAACGATATACGAAGTCAAATGATCATCACATTCAGTACATTGACAGATACTATATAATCGTCGAATAGGTCTTCCATGCAATACAAACATTCATAAAGAACAAAACTGCATTTTAATGCCATATTTATCACTTTAAATGGACATATAACTTTCCTTTTAATCATCGAAGCTTATTAATTTTACGTACGATGACTATTCCACATGGTATAGTAAAGGTTGATCATTGTAGAATCATTATTTAGTGGCTATAATATTGCCAGATACGTTACCATAGTAGTCACACTATCCATTTCGATGATAATCATTATACAACCAAGTGGCATATTTTGATTTCAGTTAGATTATAATTCTTGATTATGATGGTCATTCACATACATTTAAAGAAAACCAATACACATTCTCAAATGGTCAAAATATGATAATTGAGTAAAAGATTTCTTTTTCTTTGTTATCAAGAGCAGATAATTCACCACTATGGTAAAAAGTTCTCATAGATTTAGGTAATATAAAATTGGTTATCGCAGGAGCTGCATGCGAAGTACTGTTATACACTATATCATCTTAATATATACGTTGACAACGAATTCCAAATAATTATTCTGATAAAACAACGGAATTTCTATACTTAAAGAATTTGTGGCAACGTAACTTGTATTTGCTATCAAAAATCGTAAAAACTTGGACAACTTTTAACCAAAAAAAGGGGGGTTGTTAAAAATCATCCATTCGTTGTTTCATTAATGAAAGTATTCACATTTGTGAATCTAAACGATTTTGATCAATTTCTCGTGGTCAATATTTTGTCAATTTTGCTAACCGATTTGAACACTTCAGCGAAGAATAAAAAAATTAATGTATGCACTCACTCACCATTTTTTTAATATTTAATTTATGATGTCCGTTGCTTAGAGACACACCACCAACTAGGCCAATTTGATCAATGCCCACGACGATATCACGATTGCCCTCGATCGGATCAGTAATAATTCTCGTCTGCTCTTCCACCGTATCAGAAGATCTTGATATTGGCAATGACTCTGCACATTTTTTCCGCCTTTTAGTACTTGCACCTATACCCATGCGGATGGAGTGTTTTTTCTAACTTCCTCGATGATAAAGATCAATGAAAGGTTATGAAAATAATACACATAATAATAGGTCTGTGAAACATAATTACGCGATCGACCTTTGGAGTAAAGTGAATCTGAAAAGATTTCTATAGCATATAGGCGATGAGTAATGATGTTGAAAACCACTCCTTTGTGAAGTTCTTCTTCATGCAAGTTGTGCACGTATTTTCTTCCGTTAGCAAACAGAGTCTAAGATAATAGTCCAAAGTCTAATTCTGTATATAAATATGGCCACTATAGGCCTACTCCTGCATGGTTCAATATTAGTAATTATCTATTTGTTCTTGAATAATTCAGTGCAAAGAAACTATAGTTAGGGTGGGGGAAACAGGAACACTGCGGCCCGACACGTCAACTTTGTTTTTTGTCGGTAACCATTGAAGATAACAATGTGAGTTTGTTGGGGGTATGGTATTACAGTATTTCTATTTTCTCATTTATAGGAATAAAAACAAATAGAAATCGACATGCTAGAGTTATCAAATTGCGTTGCCAAACCCACGGATCGGTAAAAACCTTTCTATAATATAGTGAGAAATCAATAATTAGCTTTTTTTTTTTTTTTTTTTTTCTAAACTAACAACAAGCATATATAAAGCATTGTGTCATTATGTCAGCATTTAGGTAAAGGAGTAAAGACAATGCAGTTTTTTTAAAACATCTCCGATATCCAGAACAGTTGAGGCTGCTCTGATACGACAGGTCATGGGTTCGATCCTCTTTGATGGTCATACCGTCTGTCACCCGTGGACAAGTGTTAGTAGTCTATACATCATTCTGTTCTTCTCGACTCCTTCTTATACTGCAAGTTCTTCCTACTTGGGAATGATGAGGTGATTCAAATTACATAGCCCTCATGAAGAGGCTATCAGTATTGATGAGGCTATACCCTGGGCATATGAGATCATAATTGCCATTATTGCCGGATTAATGGAGGTAAAATGTGAGTGAAAAAGAGAGAAGGGAGAGAGTGAGAGAGAAGGCGGAGAGATAGATAGATAGAGAGAAGAAGGAGAGAGAGAGAGAAAGAGAGAGAGAGAGGGGGAGGGATGGAGGGGAGAGAGGGAGAGAGAGACGGAGAGAGAGAGAGAGAGAGAGAGAGAGAGAGAGAGAGAGAGAGAGAGAGAGAGAGAGAGAGGAGCCCCCCCCCCCCCCCCCAACACCACCACTCCGGGGTGGGAAGGACTACTGCATGCGAGTTCCAAACCAAATCTCCGGGAAAGGGGGTAAAGGGACAAAGTCCGGCCCGTATTGACTTTCACACCGGAGATAAGGGGGGGGGGGGGGTGGCTTTCAAAGGGAGGAAACAAAAATACGCGCACCCTAAATACGGGTGGGGGCTCGGGGGCACGCACAGTAGTAGGGACGGCCAAGTGAGAGAGAGAGCTGAGGAAGGGACTAAAGAATTCAGTCGATCGATCGGGAGGGGAGTTAAAGCGGAAAATAGGAGGGATGGATAATAGGAGGCTAAGGAATGGCTAGGAGAAGAGATGGGGCCCGGGGAGAGGAATTATTTCAAATGTTTACATTTTATTTTCAGGGTTGTTATATATTTTGGGGGGTTCCATGGTATTATCCATCATGCTCATAGTTTGACAGTTAACGGAGACAAGAAGATTCGACTTAAATTTATATACGATAAATAACGGGTATGTAGATGATTGCAGTTCATTTGCGCTGCTTTTCATATTATTCATGCATCAACAAGCCCTATGGACTGGATCTAGACTGAGGTCACATCTAGTCTATCGAGGTCCTCAAAATTTCAGGATTGTTTAGCTGATTAAACCAAGCTAGAGCTTGTAATTTTTCACGCAGTGTGGTAGAGCTTCAAGGGATGTTTCTTCAAGTAAGTGCTTCTTTGATATTTTGTATGAAGCGATTTGTATTCACTTGAAGTTCGTGCAATATTTGACAAGATCTTACAGCGGAAACACGGTGCTGTCCCACATGTATGATTTCGCGTTAGTAGCTTCCGTCCTCGACTCCACTGCATAAAAATGGAATTAGTCTAGACTAGATCTGGTTTAACAATCCTATTTATTCACGTTGATTAAACTTGATAAATATCACAAACGTATTTGCCCCTTCTTCTTCTTTTTCTTCTTCTGGAAGAAGAAGAGGAAGAGGACCGAGGAAGAAGAAGAAGAAGAAGAAGAAGAAGAAGAAGAAGAAGAAGAAGAAGAAGACTCAAGAAGGAGAAAAAGAAGGAAGAAGAGGAGGACGACAACTTGGAGAAGGAGGAAGAGGGGATGAGAATAATGTGAAGAAGAAGAAAAAGGAGAAGTGAGAGAGAGATTTGGGTTATCTAAACTTGGGTCATCTAAACTTCATTAATTATTTTGTTTAAAGTGAGCTTAAACAAAATGAACAGTGATGAAACTAGTAAATAAATTATCAGAGAATTCAACACAAAGTACACAGCAGAGCTAGTTCTAGACCTAGTTAAAAAATAATAGAGCTCTAATCTATGTATAAAATGGTCAAGTCAATGACAAATATTTTGCAAAGAATCATTGACTAGATCTAGCCAAATTGTTAAGATATTAAACAAATTTCATTATTAGAGATCCTTAGAGTGCACTCTCAAATTCACATGTATGAACTATGATGTAGCACTTGCTATTCATTCTATTTGTAAGTCATAACATTAACCTCTAAACTCCTCTTACTTCCTTTCCACTTATAATGTCTGTTACGAATAAAATGACGGACACAAAACCAAATAACTTATTCGAAATCCATACGATACTTCAATGTTATGCATGTGAGAATCAAAGATCTTCGTTCATAAAAGTAAGAAATTCTAGTAGAATACCATAAGCAGTAGGGACAGACGCTTGTACATGTACTACAAACTTATTTGAATTTGAAATATAGCTTTTTACCTCTGTATAGCTGTACCAAAACCTATCTGTAGGTCGCTATTAAACAGGCATTGAAATTGGATGGTACATCAAAAACGGGAAGAATATTCATCTTACCTCCAAATGTGTCACAGAGTATAGTTAAAAAGTCAGGAACGGTAATCAAGCCAATATAAGTAAATTACATCCTGCTTTAATACATTGATTTGATGTTTATATTACACTAGTGCTGCATTGAATTTATGACATACTTCCACATAGATTTGGGTCTATGTGTGAGGGACAAAGAGAGTCAAGTTGGAGCACTTTGAATAAGTTTCTGTGTTAAAATGAATGTTGATTTTTCGGCCTGTGATTGGGAATTTCAAAATAGAATATTAACCACACTTCCCAATACAGGTAAGCTCTCAGCGTAAAAATGAAGAATATTACTTCATTCAGGTTTTCGATCTCGCATAACCGGGTTAATTTGTTATGCCTCCATGTTTGTTTGCCACCGCGGCACTAATGACCTTTGGCAAGACATTGATCTACATTTGCCACTCTCCACCCAGGTGTTAAATGGGTACCCGGTAGGATGCGAAAGCTAATGTGGTTAGATTAGCAAGTGTGCGCTTGTAAAAAAGACGCCTGGCTGGAATGCTCCCCAGGGAGTGGAGAATGTGCATACATTGTGTGCGGGTAAGCCTGAATCCTATGACCGGGGTAATAATATATATATATCTGTAAAGCGCTTTGAGAGGGCCTTCGGTCCTGAAAAGCGCTATATAAGAACTAGCTATTATACATGTACATAACTTGCTACATATATATTTATGCATACAGAGATGTGTTCAAGCATTAATTAAGAATAATTGATTATTCTGTGCATTATTAGGTTGTTTTTACAAGTGATGTAGCTCTTTTTTGTTTTCAGAATATGGTCTCAGTCACTTTTTGGCATAGAACTGTAATCTAACAGCCTTACAAATATTAATTGTACATTTTCACTTTAAATGAATATTTGTATATCATTTGTGTATCATACAGATTTATTCATTAGGAACCCTCCTATATTAAGCTCTATACTTGCACTCTACAGCAATGACCTGGAGATACATATTTGTGGATCTACCATGCTGTATCCCCTCTTTGAGCTAGCTGCCCAGCTGAGGGTGAGCAGTGACAGTGATAATCAAGAACAAAGAAGGTATCAATCACCAGTCTTATCTCTGGTCCAGTCCAAGAAGCCAATTCGACCAGCCAGGATCATCTTCAGCGCTCATAGGCAAATCGGCAATGCGAGTGTCACAGTTTTGGTTTGTAGCGTTGGTAAGGAATGATCTTTTTCAGCTTTACATTTGTAGCTTTTCTGTTATCTTGTGAAAATATAATTCAACTACTAAGTAAAGATATTTGATACAAAATTGATTAATTCTGTTATTACCTTAAATTTCAGTTTGATGCACAACATGTTATTTTCTTGTTTGAACGTAAAAAACAATTTTTTTTTAAATACGGGAAGGACGTTTTGAACATAGATATCGCTTAATGTTTAATTCAGACTTTGTAGTCAGAGTTTCAAGTGATGTAACTTTTTTTTCCCCCTTCATATATTTTATTTCAATCTTTCGTTTTTACCGCAGACTCCCTTGTCTTGAGATACGAAGACCATGGACATAAACCAGTCACCAAAGATCTGCAGTGGTTTCAGGTAAAATAAATTATTATCTTATGATTTGTCTTTGTATAATCAGAGGGAAAGAGAAAGAATGTTTGTGACCATTTTTGTAACCATGGCAGGCCAAATTGTCAGAGAAACTACAAATTTATGCTGAATGTTGAGATCTACAACTAGAATTACGTCTGTCAAAGAGTTGTAATGAAAATAGCATATTGGCTGAGTTTAGAGCAAAGAAAGATGAGTATGAGTGGACTGATATGACCACCTTATAAAACATAACAAATGTATTGTCTCATATCTGATGATTACCAGAAGGATGTTAACTCATATGCTTTAAAGCCACACTGTACTACTTGTAGCTACTTGCTCCCTCTATATAGAAAACTTCCCCAATCGGTACCTGTTGGTCCCCCATGATCCTCTTTTTCTTATGTTAATTGAGAGCTGAGTTAGTCAGATAGCCACCTGTCAGTGACCTCGCTGTGTGGTCGAATCCCTTCTGGCTGAACTAGTACAGCCGGCTTTTAACACAAAGCTAGCCCCTTCCTGGCTTTGAGTAGATGATCTCTTATCAATAATTCATGTTGGTACTTTACAGTCTGTTTGTGAAGTAAACTCCCACCCCCCCCCCCCCCCCCCCCCCCCAAAAAAAAAGAAAATCATTATACATGTATTGTTTACATAATTCTTCTGACAACAACCATGCACTTTACCCTAATTCTTATTTATGAAGGTGTAAAATTATTTAGAGATAGACTTCCAGAAAGTTTCTACTAGGGCAAGTCCAAGGTATTTTGTCCCTTCTTTTACAATGTCATCATCAGTGTTAGTGTGCCCTATGATTCTATAGAGTTGACACCCCTTCTAGATTTCGATTCAGATCAATATCATCCTGAGGAAAAATGACTCTTTTAATGCTAATTTTGTGTATGTTAGATTATATACCTGGGATAGCAAGGGATCAAATGCGTTGGACTTGCCAACCAAGACAATCTTGCATTTTATCAGAACTCAGGGTTGCCTTTAATGCCATGACTAACAATCTTGGCAGGTGGCTTGATGAATTGAATACAAGTGATGTATTCTTGGACCTGTATCAAACTGCGATAGAGCAAATTACTCAATGTTGAACGAGTTCCGGTGTGTCTGGGCCCTAATAGTGAAGGTATTGAAAGGTTCATGGACATGTGAAATATAGTTGAACATTATAATGCAAAATACTTATGTGGTGTAAAACAAATGAAGGATCAAGTGGAAAGGTACTGAGTAGTTCAAACTCAACTTCAAACACATTTGGAAACATACATTTTATAATTGTAATTCGCAAAGAATATTGTAAGACTTCAAAAGTTTGAGACACCATCAGTCCAGATCTGGTATGTTAGACGAGTTATCTTTGTATAGTATTATGAAAGCTTTATTTTGGAGACAAGCTAGACACTTTACAAATTTACCTTCACTAAAGATAATAATTGACTGGAAACTAGAGTGTTTCCTTCTGTATGAGTAACATAACAAATCATTGAAACTTTTACCTTTCTCTATATTGTGTGTGACAATAATAGTTCTCATCTAAAAATTCTTTTCAATATAAACTAGATTTTACAATTTTTATCATTGTAAGATATAATTTCACACATCTAAAGCCTGTGAATTCAAGCAAAAGCGTATCAGACATGACCTTTTTTTTTTTTAAAGGTGATTTTATTCACTTATGAGAAAACAGATTCCTGCTAGGAGAGCTGCACAGGAAATCCTTTCCAGGAAGCTACTGGTACACCAAAATTGGAAGCTTAATCAAAATTTATTTCCTTGTTTTCTCTTTCAGGATCCAACTAAAGCCATTTGTGCCATCACCCTTGATGCCAGTGGTACCTGGGCGGTGGTAGCATGCAGCGATAGGAGTCTATATGTCATCCCTGTGCTAGCTCTCCTTGGGTTACCTTCCTCTAAGACGGGGAATCCCCTCTGGAAAAAAAATGATGTCACCAAGATTGAGATTGCGGCGAACATTGGTAAACGGCTGATTTCATACATTGAAATGTTAATTCAAGTCAAAAGCACTATTACATGATAGTACATGATTTAGCATCAATACAAGACAAGTTATGGCTAGCAAGACCAACCAAGAAGCAACATGATATATTTTTTATTTCTCAGAAATACAAAATCTGTTGATAAATTTGGAAAGTTTGTCACCATGTCTTTCATTTGACTTTGCCAAAAGAAGGTATGAAGCAAGTATCAATAAGAGAAACATTTTTTTTCTTCCAGGCAACTTTGAGAGGTGCAGCAGGGGATTTTTTCATTCTTTCATACTTTGTATCCAATGTGCCATTCTATTGTACCTTCTATTGTATGTTTGAAATGCCAAATAAATAATAATAATAATAATAATAATTTTATTTTGAGATATTAATCACCAATTAGCTTGGAACTATATGTTACATTTATGTCTAAGTTGTATGATAAATTAAATTGTAGAGAAAGATAGGAGTACTACTTGTTCTGTATTTGGCCTGATAACATATATAATAATTTTTTACCCCAACCAGGCGTTCCATCAGCCCTCCTATGGTGGCACTCCCTGGATGGAAGACACATCGTTGTCATGGGAACGGAGAAAGGAGAGGTCATAATGGTTGACCTTGGTCTGGAGCGTGATGTTCGGACGGTGATGATTGGTGAGGCGATAGCATCTATAGATATGATCAGATACGAAGACAACCTGGGATATCTGCTGGTAAGAAAGTCTTTGTATCTCTAACATAACTACATATAGCTACTCTGTTTATCTTGGTTTTTTTTGTTCATATGCTTATGATACATTAATTTCATCGTTTGAGAGCCAGGAGAGCATGGAATCTTTGTAAACGATATGATTTGACCCTTTCTGGCGCTCAGCACACAATATTCAAAAAGATTTCCTGTATTAAAATATATTTGCATTTGCATAGAGAGAAAACAGATTTATCCAACAATCTGATATGAAAAGGGTTATTTTGTTTACAAGATTGATATAAGGAACGGTGTAAAAGGAAGTGTACCTGCAGCAGTTAATGAAGATTTGATTATTTTCAGTATTGCAGTATTTTAGCAAATAGCAATCAGCAAGCACCTTTATACGACAAATGGGATAAAAATCATAAGAAAATGATACAGTCAGATGTCAGTAAGACCGTCGAACATGTTTTCAGTTTATGTTACATGTATTTAGGCAATACTTGTAGGTAAGCATAAAAAACAAGTCCTCCCATTGGTCATTTGCAGGTGTTCACCAAGGGAGGCAACCAATGGGGAATGCTGTTAGAACAGTCTTCTGAGGTCTGTGCTCTCACCACCTCTATGGAGATGGAGGCAGAGATTCTAGAGTATGAGGTCATCCAAGCCGACAGTCTTCCAATCAGGAGTATTCTTCATGCAGGTAGGATGCTTATCCAGCTAGAACAGGACCCTGTTTCATCAAACTAAATTTCTTTGACAAGTCTGCTCTCAGCCAATCAAATGCCACTATTTCAGTAGCTTATAACAGCTATTGTAGCTTTTTATTGATAACAAGTTTCATGAAACAGGGCCCAGGATTTGCTTTGAACCCTGTTCACACCTGCAGTGGTAAACAACTCCCCCCCCCCCCCCAAAAAAAAAAGAGAAAGATTTTAAGTGAAAAGTAAGAAACAGTATTAGGGGGTAGCCTTAATAAATCACAGCTGCGCTAGAAAGCTCCCTATGTATACTCACTGATGTGGTTATTATAAAATACACAGAACATAAAGTACAGTTTGCATAACATTTTATATTGCTCTGGTAGTTTTGGAATTTGTTCACCACCTCGTTTATGCTTGGGCCTTTTGATTTAAAGGAAGGTTGTGAGGACTTACATTGCAAACTTTTCATTGTTTTTGTTACGGTAAAATTACACAATTGGAATATTACTGATCTCTCTCCTGTGCTTGAATGAAGAGTTTATTACTTGATGAGCATCACATCAGAAGGGTAAAAAGACATGGTCATGCAGGTTGGGTTTTAGTCCATGTGTTTAAGCCGGTCTTTATATCATACCACTCAGCTCAGAATTAATTTGTAATTTATTTCAGTGATATTAGTGCGAGTCATTGATATTGTGGTGATAACAGACCCATATTATTGAACGTTGTAATGGCTATTTTGAAGGGCTCGGGCGCTTATAAATTTGTACTGCCAACAGATTGAAGATTGAATTGTGTGTTGAAGTTACATAGAGAGTGGCATGATAAGTAGTATGAATGAAGACACACTCTAGAGCATGAATTTCTGAATCTGGCATGCAATAAAAATTGCATTATAGTGATTACCTATTGCTACTCCATGTATGAGGATTATTATGTTGTGAGACTCATATTTGCATTATCTCTGCAAGGTTGATGCTTTGTGTTCTGATGATATGACAACAGCTCTTGAAGCCATGATATATTTGGTCTGATTAATTAAAATCAAAATCAAAGTAAAGGCATGCTTTGTTTCCAAACCAAACAGGAAACTTCTTTTCCTTTACCAACCTTGGAGCACATACTTTAATATGTAATCTACTGGCGTATTCAGTTCAATACTTTTGTCAGAAATACATGTATGAGTATATTACTCAGTTTTTCTTAGATAAAATACTTAGCCAACTTTGGTCAGTTAAAGCTTTTGGCTAATTATTTAAACCAAAGTTTTAGACAGCTCCCTAGCAGACTTAACCAGATTATTTTGGAAGCCTTGAGTTGTTTATATAAACAGTCATCAGGAGCTGTACATAATTATATTAGCATGCATTTAATGTGGCTCGTTTATTGCACATTATGTTGGATTGACATTGTGATGTCATAATACTTTAGCAATAGGTATTTTACCTTGAAGTCGGTTTACTAAAGTAATATGCTCAGATTTGGTCTGATTATGAGCTAAGATATATTACTTAGCAAAGTACAATGCTACATGAAATCCTGACTTATTTATCAAAATAATGCAAGGGTATTGATTATGAGAGTTATTTACCCCAAACAGGACTTCTCAGTGAAGAACTTGTTCTGTTTTCAGGTAAACAATGAATGCTGCATAATTGCATGTTCAGACCTGTATGTATCACAATGGACATTGGTTTATGCATGGTATCTAGGTCATGTTTAAGATGCATCGTCTAGGCATGCTTTGGTGAATGGTACTTGTTGTAATTTAGTCCATTCAGATAACTTTCTGAAAACCAAATCCAGCCCATGTCATGTCGGCATTGCCCTGTATAATTTGCTCTAGAAGTATTGGCAAAAATGTGTTCCTGCTTCACCTTTTTTTCTTTTAGAATGTTTTTATTTTGATAAAATTCTTGCCCTCATTAAAGAAATCATACTTTTCTTTTCTGACAAGTTATGTGTTTAAAAATGGCATGTTGAATATGACTTTATAATTTGATCACTTCAAGATATTGCTTCATCACCACTGTTTGATGAAAATCTTAATTTCATGAATGATCATTTTTGAAGTCAATGGATTTTGATACCCCTTGCATGCATGTTATATACACTGTGATCAGTAAAACTAGGTATTTTATGTTTCTCTCACTTTTCGGGCAAAGTTTTTCAGGTACCTCAACATTTTGGTTTTACCATTTTAAAAGTCTTAATAGGACACAAAGGCAAAGGGCATATATTCAAATGACGTCTCCTTGTTCATTTGCCATACTCGTTATCTTGCATTATAACCCATACATAACTGCAGCCATAAATGATTTATTTTCTGTTGTCATGTAGTTTTGCATACATGTTATCATGGAGATGCTTCTAGTAGTGCTTCTGAAAACCTCTGTGTTTTAATAGTGGGTCCCAAGGTTGTTATGTTTTGATTTTCAAAATATATACATTAAAATTATTTTTTAATTTTCAATTTTATCGATATCAGTTATGTATATCATTGCACAAGTTTAATGGTTGCACTTATGTCCATAATTCTAAAAATTGTTACATTGAATAAAAATTTATATATTTTTGTTCAGTAATTTTTTTTTTTAATGGTCCAGATGGTATTTACTCCTTATAATCCTTGGGAATCATCCGTTTCCTTCAAGCTTCAATTTCCTTTATTACTTTATGAATCTGTTTTGCCATCCATTTAAAAACAAAATACAATTGTAGACTAACTATTTTATCAGTAAAATTATGATTATGATGACCTTTTAAAATTTCCATGCTACTATGCTAGAGAGATCATTTTCAATATGGAATTGCTTTGTTTTTTAAGAGTATGTTCATATTATCATATGTTTATGGTTTCTAGATGGGAAATCTCCTGGCTTTGCACCTGTTCGCTTCCAGCAGTTCACCCAGAATATTCAACTCACTTCCCAGTATGCCAGAGGGCGATCACTCGTCGCTGGCCATAACTTCACCGCTAACATCTTCAAGGTACAGTGAAACCTGTCTATAAAGACCACCCAAGACCACACAAGAGAAGTGGCCTTTATAGGCAGGTGGTCTTTATGTACAGGTTCCTTTAGTACATGCTTCAATGTGAAACCATTTTCAAGGGATACAAAAAATGTGGGCTTTGAAGACCGGTGGCCTTTGTGGAAAGATGGTCACTTAAGCAGGTTTGACTGTATCTTTATATATTTCAGAGGGAATATAACTTTAAAACATTTTTTTGTTGATTTTCCAAGGACAGGCTATAAACTTATGTGAGTTGGAGAAGAAAAACAATCTTTAGAATGCACTGTACACTTTTCACATTTATAAATCAAGCATATTTTCAACATACAACTCCCAGCAGTATATCTTTATCTGCAGTCCTTATTCTGTTCTTTTTTTCTATTGTCAATGTTATTTATCTAATCCTCTGTTGTTGAATGATCAATTAACCTGTAGACCACTGAATTCTCTAATTCCATAGGCTTAAACTATAGGGACTACATTGTTCCAGTAGGCAATGGATTAAGGCATTCACCTGTAAAACAGTCGAGCTTGTATGGTACAAAGTTAGGAGAAGAATGAGGAGGCTGGGGGGGGGGGGGAGGGATGGGTGGGAATTGACACTGTGTTTGATTTCATTGTGGTGGAACGATACAGAAATTTTTCACATTTAAGCCTTTTCTTCTTCGATGTTAGTTTTTTAAAGCTAGCTAACTGTACAAAATATTCATTGCTTTGTATGTATTTTTCTTCCGTACAGATCTATGACAGCAGTATAGATAACTGGATGCCACTCTATGTCTACCGGATACCTCCTGCATCTCATCAAATACTTCTCACCAACAGACTTCTCTTCTGTATTACAGTATCAAGGGACAACCAGGTAAGCTTGGTGAATAACATCTAAGGGTTTAACCCACCCCCTCATCAATATTCCTCATGTTTATTTTACAGTATCAGCATGCAAAGATCAGTAATCAAGAATGATAAGTCTTCCCCTTGCGAAAATATGTGTACCTTCTTTATCCAATATTAAAGGAATGCAAGAATTGAGATAAAAGGACATTTATGTCTCATCTTTGAGAAACTATTGCTCTATTTTATTTGTGTGATCTTAAACTTAGAAGACTAAAATAGCTACATATTATAAAGAGTTGCAGTTTATTGCAATCAGTGGACAATTCTACTACTTGAATTTGATATTTTTTGCAACAAATAAGCTCAGGAAATGATATGAAATGATGATTTATATAAGCCTTGTTGCTGCTGCTTTTTTCTTTTATGAACCCACTTTTGTTGTACAGGTTAGCCTCCTTGTCTTGTCCAATCAGAAATCAGAAGTGTCATCACCTGACCAGATGGCAAACAAGGATGCCATCCTGCAGACCTTCCACTTTCCTGAGGGGGAGTCATTCATTGGAATGTACCGTCACAATGCTGATTTGACCACCGGGAGGCGGAGAAGGGCAGCATCATCTCTGGGCCACACCCGCCATCACAGGGCCAGCAGTGGTATCAAGGGTGGGTTACCTGCTGATGGGGAGGGGGAGGAGTCAGATGATGATTATTACAGCACCTCATCTGAGCTGGCTGAGTCAGAAGCAGGGTATGTATCATTCGCATGCTGCAAGTTAACCAGTTGACTACTGAATTGTCTCATTCCTATAGGCTTAGTACAGGACAGGGTGATTTATATCCACATTTGGGTTAATTATATTATATATATGTTCTAAAGAAGCAGCAAATGATATTCATCATTATGTACCTGTAGTCTTTGATGTCATGGTAGGAACTAGTGGTGTTTTCAAATACTTCAGAATTTGAGACATTGAGAAGTAGGTTATTTGAGGAATTTAATTGTATGCCTCCACAACGAAGTAGCCGGAATCATACTCTTCATGATTTTTCTATTATTTTTTTTAATATATAACATTTAAATTCTAAAAAGGACGTAGAACTTTGCAAAAATTGAAGGTCTGGGTAGCTCTTCAAATGATGTTAATCAAACGTTACAACATTTCTAAAGAATAGATTACCAGTTTTCACATTCCTACAATGTACATCCTAGTGTGTCTCAACTTTCATACAAGTTTCTACCCATTTTTAAAGAAGACTTCATTGCAATTTTCCCTCTCTCTTCATACATGTACATTTATAGCCTTGCCAAAATCTTTTCAATTCAAGGCATATACTGGGACCCGTTTCACAAAGCCCTTTTTCAATGACAATTGACTAAAATCAGTGACAAATCTGCTGATAACCAATCAGAAGCAAGGATTTCAGTAGCTTATAACAAAAACTGTCATTTGTCACTGATGGCAAGTTTTGTGACAAACCCCTCTGGTCTACTTTTCTATGTCTCAGGTTGCATGGTGCCCTGCATCCTGAGAGTGACCCTCACAGAACAACCCTCTGCACCGCCCTTGATGGGTGCACCGTGGTGACCAATCGGGCGGTCTACCATTGTAGGCCTAGGATCTCTCCGGAGGGACTGTTCCTAGACCTGGCCCTGTCAGAGAGGGATGGGTCCATGGCCGAGAACCTGGGTATCACTCTAGGCCTGGACATGAACTCTCTCTATGAGATTGCGGCGGAGAGGAAGCTGGCTGCGGGCGAAGTGCAGACAGCTCTGAATCTCTACCAGAGTTCACAGGTATGATTTTTATTACCTATACATTGATCTTTTTGTGAATCAAATGGTGTAGTTATATATGGTATTGGGAAAAACCTACTTAAATTTCCTGAAATCAAGGTGTTTTCTCTTTCATCATTATCATCATCATTTATTAAAGTCAGCATTTTCCCATTTAGGAGGGGTTACCGACTTTCGTGCCACGATAAAACTCCCTCCCTCCACTTATTCTTGTCTAGAGCATCCTCCTTATTTAGACCCACCTCACTGCTTTCTTTCTTCGCCATATCTTTCCATGAAATCTACGGTCTTTCTTTCCCTCTTATGCTATCCACTTCTGGATCTCACACTCTTTTCATAAGTAAGTGTGACCAGTTTCAGTACAGCTGGAAAACCAATTCAGATCACTACGAACCTCCAGATTATTTGAAATATATACCAACACTGATATAACTCACTTAGTTAAAAAATCTCTTCATGAATCGCAATTTTGTCTTTGTTTGCTCCTTGTAAACCAAAATTCCTTGCATATTTTTCCAGGCTGCTTATTATCTGTTTTCTTGTCCTCTGTTTCTTAAAGTGTATAAAGACACAGAAGCATTTTCTGATACACACTGTACACAAATTACACTTTGTTATTTTTATAGCTGTTGTTGACATCACTTTTTACGTTTGATAATTATTTTATTGAAAAACCCCAATTACAGATGCAGTAATTCAATTTTTGTTATATTTTAAAGTCTTGGCCGTGTTCTTCCTTCTTTGCAGTGCTCTTACATCAAGCAGGTGACCAATCTAGCCAAGTTTGGCCACATTGCAGAGATTCTCTCTCTGGTCACTGTAGCTCTGGGCAGAACATCGGAACTGAGTGGTCAAGACCGCAAGATGCTAGCCAACATAGCCATCAAGTGCTTCGTCTGTGAGATACTGGAAGGTGACAGGAGAGAAGAGCTTATGTTTAATTTCAAGTAAGTACTGTTAAGGCAGTATAGGGCAAATCTTATGAAGTTATTCATTATGGTACCAATGTTCTTGATGATTGTGTGAAATAATGAATACTATGAATGAGATTAACTCACAGTTGAACCCGTTGGAGAGGCATGATAAATTACTAGTGGATGGAGCTGTCCAGAATGTCAGGTATATATAACTGATTGATTTCAGTTGAAAAAGAAAAAGACCATGTCTTGTTTAAGCCACCATTTTTTAAACAAATCAAATCAAATCAAATCATGTCTTCTGTACATACACACACATATATTTCTTACCATATCTGGGTTAAATTTTGCCTGAGGCAAAAAGGACTACAGGTAAACATTCATCATATTACACATACCGTCCTCCGTGATTCCTTTATGGTTTCAGTTTACCTCTCATTCAAAGGAATTGTATTATCAACCATCAGCTCAAAGAATCACTCTTTAAACATAGTTATTACCAATGCCCTCACACTCCAATTGATATATATCACTTATTTTGCTTTGTTTTAGACAACCTCTATTTTTAGATATAACTGTATCATTCTTGCTACTGCAGGCAGTTCATCATGGAAAGCTTTGACTATAATGAGGATGCAGCCTTGGAGCTCTTTGCTGCATGTGGGCTTCATGACATCCTCATTCAAGTGGCAAAGGTAATCATCGTTGAGACTACTGACTTAATAAAATCAGGGCCTTCTCATATACAGGTCATAAGTAAATTGTAGGTGTATCTTTGAATGTGGTGGTGGTTATTTTACCTGACTGCTAAGAAAGCATAAATGCTTGTAAATAAGCAACCAGACGGCCGACGGCATTAGGTCCTCTCCGAGGGACCTGGTAATGAGGATTAATGCCTTACCAAAGGGCACTAGCGCATCGACTTGGTTTCAAACCCGGGTCACCGGATAACGAGACCACTGCTCTACCGACTGAGCTATTGCGCCTCCTCAGGCTAGCATTACTAAAGAGGGAACAAGAAATAACATTAACACAATTAATCTTGGTTGGCAGATAATGAAAATAAATGTATCTTTATTATCTTGATATGTTGAAAATAAAGAAGACCTAAAATGGTTATTTTACCCCACCCCCCCCCAAAAAAACAAAAAAAAAAATGTTGATATTTCATTTGCTATTGATTCTGATATCTTCTCAGTTCATTCATTCATTTCATGCGCACAGAATGTATTGAATACCTATCATTAACGTTTGACCCTCTGTCTCACTCACTCTCCAAGGCCCGGGGCAAGCTCTCCGTCGCCCTCGACCTGATCCTGCAGACAGGGCTTCCTCAGATAGACTGCTGCTTGAGGAAACAGCTGGTCTCTCAAGGCTACATCACCAAGTTCTCTGCGGCAGGCGACATGTCGTTTGTGAGATGCATGCCCCCTCAACAGGCCATCACGCACCTACTTGCTAAGGTAAGACAACCTATGGAGACTGAGGCCTTTGGGAGGTAGTTGACTTGGTCAGTAAAGCATGTGTTTTGTAACCCAGTGATCATAGGAATGGGATAATTTGATACTACAGCCTACGTAGGTGAGAAGGTTCAGTTGTCAGTGGGTGAAATTATGTGTGTAAACATCATCCAAAGAGTTGATGACTGAAGCCTGCATTGTGTGCAAACATGCTTCTCCTGTATTTAGACGTGCAGAATGAGAATAATGGGAAAACATTTGGTCCCTCCGATAGGATATCAAGTGGAAATCTGAATGTAGGGTGCCCTAAGAACTTGTACATGAATTCTAATAATTCACTGTACTTCTCCAAAAGAGTAAGGATGCACCTGCAAATCCCAATCAAGTTTACAGGGAAAAGGGGAAGACAGTAAAAAGTAAAATTTAAAAATGGGTAAAGAAAAAAAGGTATAAAACAAAGTTTTACACAAAATTCCTGGAACAGTCGCCATCCTTCGCCAAAGAAAAAATTAAGTTCATTATCCTTCTATTATGCATATAGCCTGAGCTGATCTTCAGATACACTGAGTTTGTGAGAGGTTGTCTGGACGATGTAGACGCCAAGACGTTACTCAAATTGGCTCAACTATTTGACCCGTCCAAACCCACCCTTAGACCACTCCTCAAGAGCCAGAGAGAAAGGTAGGTTGGATTCTTCCAGAAGCAGATTTATAATGTGCATCAAGTATGCCATGTACCATTGTTATCATATGATTCACTGCTACTTGTATCGGGTAATTCAGAAGTATGCCTGTAACTACAGCTAAACCAAGATGTAATATGGTATTTTTATACTAGAATAATCCTTTAAGAAAATATTTGTTTAGATTATATACAATAGGATCAAGACATGTGATTGCCATAAAAAAATATATCATAGGGATTACATGCTGTCATTGCTAACTTTAACTAGCTTTTTTTAGCTTATTGACATAGTGGTAAAAGCCATTTAATATTCAAGACAATTCATTTTCAATTTTGTTGAGTATTTTATTTATATTTTCCCCAATTTCTAGGAGTCATTCTACTGGTTCAACCTCTTCTTATGATAGCTTCAGGACTGCTCAGTGCTCTACAGACAGTGAGGTAAAATATGAATGATTCTTGTATAAGCTGTGGTATCTTGATTGCTACCTTAAATCACAGATAGGAGACTTCTCTTTATCAAGACTTTGAAACCCGTTTAGTTCCTAGTATGGTGTATTCCGTAATCCTCTTCATGTATGATTTATTCTCTAAACTAAAGTTCCATCCAATCTGAAAACATGCAGCAATGTAGGAATAGACCAGTGAAAAAAAACACACAGGAGTGGTGAGCAATTTAGCTCTCGAAAGCTCTGGTAAAAAACAGTAACATGCTTGAATATCACTGTTAGGTAATCATTTTTATACAACACCAAATCCTAAAAGAGCTCCTGCCAACAGAAAATTATCTCTTTAGTAAATTGGAATAGACAAGCATTGTATTCCATTTAGAATGACAAAGTTTTGCTTTCAAATGAAAATACACCTGGAGTATCTGTGCTGCAGGGTTTTACCGTATGTATTATTCGCATCCCTTATCCTCTTTCTGCTTAAATTAATTGTTATGCCCTTTCTTACCTTGACAGGATGGTGCTTTGTTCCCTAAACCCAGTGTGCTAATAGAGATCTTTCTCATCATCCTCCTTAAACTCAACAAGAAGAGAAGAGAACAGGGCAGGTGAGAATTCAAGAATTAGACATCAGTTTGTATATTTTGCTTAAGAAATGTTCAGTTGTTGTAGCTGTTCATTAGTTGGTTAGGTAAAGCAGCAATTGAGAAATATAAGTAGATTGATAAACAGACAGACAGACAAAGAGGCAGACAAACAGACAGACATACATACATAGAGACAGACAGACAGACGGACAGAGGAACAAACTTACAGTCTGCTATATAGAAATGTTAATAGAGAAATAGAGAAATAGCTCATCCATTGTGCAAAATGTTTTTTATGCTGTTATTTTTAATTCTCTGTTGCACAGTAACTGTATATTAAAAGTCATTACAACTTTTCTTTTTTGATAATTATCATACTGGAATTAAAGGAAAATTGCATGAAGCAATTCCAAACTTCTTCTAATAACCCACAAAACCATATCAACAAACAAATTATAAAAATTAATATGTAGGAGAGGAACACTGGTCATAAACCCTGTTTTACTTTCAAATGAATGAATGTTTTTTAATTCTTTTTCCCCCAAACCACATGACATAGCACCCAATCCTTGGAGAATGGTCATGCCTGTGATCTCACCATCCCTGTCTGTCCTGAAGATACCTTGAACAGCTCTGACAGGTTACCTGTGGGTCTCCTGTTACCAACTCAGAATGTCTTAGCTTGTGGACAGGACCATGCTGCTATAGTAGCCAACGGGGATGTCTATACGTGGGGCAGGGCGCATGAAGGAAGGTTAGTATTATTAGACAATTAACGCATGATAGTATCAGATTAATAGATTATAATGCAGACCAACATTACTGTCAATAAATCCAGGTTTGTTTTGGAGCTGGATTTTGAATGTTGTTGTATCTGTATATCATTTTTAAGACACACTTTGTTTTTTATTTTTCCTGCTCTGTGCCCAAGAGGAACATGAGCGCTAGAGAGAGCTAACTATAATTTGTACTGCAAAAGGGTTCTAATCCAAAGGGTTTCACCGACTATGCCTAGAATTTAATCATCAAAGTGCCTGTTATGATAGTTTTCACATACTCTGTAGTAAATCAAGAATATTGAAACATTGAATCATATAAAAGATTATCATAATGGCATAACAGGTCATAATGACCAAGAGATTATAAGAAGACTCGTGATTAGATTCCTATGTTTTCAATTTCATAGTACCTCATCTATATCATTGTATCTATTCCTGTTTGTGTTTGTAGGTTAGGTCAAGGAGATATAATGTCTCTGGATGGTAGAGCGCCCCCACTCAGAGTAGAGACTCTTCACATGCACGGTATCCACGTCAGGGCAGTGGCTTGTGGGAAGGAACATACTATGGCCGTCACTCAGGAGGGAAAAGTAAGAGATGAACACAGAATACCTCCATTTTAACCAGATAACTATCAACTTGTAGTGTACTTTCATGCTATGTCTTTTTTGTTCACTTGGACCTAAATACATGACCTGCCTTCAAGAATGTTTATTCATTTGTGAAACTGAATAAACAAATTATATTCAAGAAAGAAAATAATTTTATACGTCTTAAATATATATATGATCTTCTTGTATCAGTACTTATGAATTCTTTGATTAAAATGCCTTATGCTTTATGGCAGCTGTTTTCAATATAAATCCTCCAATTTATGATTTGTTCCTTATGGCAAAAAGAAAAGTACAAGTTGTAAACAAATTTGTGTGTATATTAGTTGAATGGTGATTAGAGGCTCATGGTTAGAGTCAAGGTTAGGATGTCAATCAGATGAGCCTCTTCTGTAAATTGAGGTAAAGAAGTGTAAATAGTGCTTCGCTATATGTAAGGTTTGGTTGTATTATTATTATTGATCGCATGTCATCTGTTTGATTGTCCAGCTATATAGTTGGGGTAGCTCCTCCTATGGTCAGCTGGGGGTCGGGGACAGGAACGTCCACTCCAGACCGGTAGCTGTAGAAGCTTTGAGTGGTCAACGATGCCTATCAGTGGCCTGCGGTCAGCTTCATACATTGGTGCTAACACAAGACCAAAGGTATTAATCATTGCCTTCACATTAAATCATTATTTATTTGTTTATTTATTCATACTCCACAAACTATTTAAGTTTATGAGAACTGTCAATATTGTTTTTTTTGTTGAAAAAGATACAGAGCATAATGAAAAGAATGAGTTCTAGAACAACACATATTTCAACCTCAATGTCATTTTGATTCTACCTGAACTGAGCTATGTGCTTTGTTCAAAGCTCAATGCTTATACACTGAAACCTGTACATAAAGACATCAAGGAAGACAAAAAAGTTGTCTATAAGCCAGGTAGTCTTTAAAGAGAGGTTGCTTTTGTACTGCTTTCAAATAGGAGACGATTTTCAGGGAACACAAAAAACATATGGTCTTTGTTAGACAGGTGGTCTTTCTTTACAGATGGTAACTACAGCAGGTTTCTTTGTATTAGGGAGATGTGAATCATTGTGCTGAAAACCAGATGTACATGTATGGCTCTGTGAAAGAAAATTTGTACTTCTCGACAGGTCTTTCCAATTAAAGATATGAAATGAATAGTTAGATTATATATAATAAACATGTCTTGTCATTGGCATCAATTAATTCTTTATTTTTTTAAATTTTATTACATATAAGTAATTTCATTCAGGACTCCTCAATCCTCCCTCTCTCCCACATGGTGCAACCGCAAGCCTACTGTTTATCTACATCACCATGCAAGTCGATATTTACAAGTAGCACATATATTTGTGTTAATTAAGTGGATTAATAAATATTTTCTTTATTTTAAAAGTATATTAACAACAACAAAAATTCTCAATAGCTATAAAGTACATTTAGTTGACAAGTGAAGTATGCTATTTTTAATGATTTCAGTACGCTACAGAAACATTAGTTTGCTTTATGTCCTACATTTCCCCCTAAAAAAAACAACAACAAAAAAACAAACAAAACACACATTTTAAACAAATGTGTTTTGTTCTTGACAGACTGTGGAGCTTTGGTTGGGGTGTCCACGGTCAGTTAGGACACGGAGACGTAGAGGACCAAATCTTGCCAAAACTTGTCAACCAGTTAAGTAAATGTGCAATAGTTGGGATCAGTGCTGGTTACGCTCATAGCGGAGCACTCACCAATGATGGACAGGTAGGTTACCATAGCAACAGGATGTAAAGGAGATCTTGGCTTTAAAAACAATTAAGGGGAGCACTCGGTTAGGGAGAGGGTCAGATAATGATTTGTTTTGTTCTTTTTATAATTGATCTAAAAAAAATAATGCTGCATTGATGTAGAAGACTATCTGTACTACTAATCACACAACTATTCACTTGTGTGATCGTATATTGAAATTGTTGTGCCTTTTTTGTTTTATAGGCAACAAAAATTTAATCAATCTATACCAACTATTATTCATGGTAGGAAGTATAAGCTTGTATAGACTAAGAGATGTCATGGCAGATTTGTCTGATGGTTCTTGACCAGGGAGAGTTTAAATTAATAACCATGATGAATGAGATAGGACATTCTTTTGTAATGGGCAGAGATAGGACATTCTCTTGTTAATGGGCAGTGAAGTATTTAATAACAAGGAACTTGTAGAGCAGGGGAAAGTAAGATTAGGATAGCAGAGACAGTTAAATGACAAAACAAAAGTTATCTACGTACACCATACTAAGATATGTACATGTATATGCAATTTTCACAGTGTAATAAATAAGAGAGAAATTTTTGTATGTTATTCATCTTATCCTATCTTCCTTATCTTATTCATAAGGTATGGATGTTTGGATCCTCATCTTTTGGTCAGCTTGGTACTGGATCTATAGGAAAGTCAACCGTTCCCGTCCGATTGAAAGCATTAAGTTCCCACCATGTCAGCATATTAACGTGTGGCTACTATAGCAATGTAAGTCTGCAATTCTCTTTCTTTGTTATTTCTTTTTGTCTCTTGTTCTTCATGCTTTGTTATGCTTCTTCGTTCTTCTTCATGTATGTAGTGAATGTCTTTTAGAGTTGGAACATTTTTTGACAAATTTAGAGTTTTCACTTTTAAAGCTGCTGTATTCTTTGGTCATTGTAGAGAAACAATTTGGTTTTGATGATGTTATTAACATATAGAAGGGGGTTTTCCTCCACAGCATTTTGAATTTGATGTGTGTTTCAAATATATTCAAATGTGTCAAAAGTGAATTGTATTAAAATCTATTTAACATGAACATTCAGAGTAGAGATGGTAATAGTATCTTCTTATAAGCTTATCTATCACGTGATAATGCTTTTGATGCTCCAATATAATAATGATATTGTTTACCCAGGGAAGCCTCATCTGCACAAATGCTGTTCTTCCTGAGGGCCCTGCAATTATTATAGCCCCAGCAATTGCTAGGTACCCATTTACACCTGGGTGGAGAGTGGTAATTGTGGATTAATGCCTTGCCAAAAGATGTTAGTGCCAGGCTGGGATTGGAACCCCCAACCCTTAGATTGAGAGTCAAGTGAATGAACCACTGCACCACAACACCTCCACTGATTACCTCAGTTACATTAGTCATTGCAAATGGCTACCGGTACTTTAACAGAGTATAATATAATATTTGAATAACTAGTTGAGGCAGATTTCCAATTCCAGTTTTCCAATTATCTCAATTAGATTGCCATCACCAGCAACCCTCAGAAGGTCTACACGTGGGGGAAGAGCCCTCTAGAGTTGAGACAGGCGTTACAGCTTGCCAGGAAACGTCATCAGTCATCTCGTTACAGTAACCCTGACCCTCATCACCAGACTGTGACCAGACTGCCTTCTCTTCCACTCGAGAACCAGCATCTCTTGCCGTCCCTTGTACCGACCAACATACAAGCACCTATAAAAAAGGTAGGATACTTGGCCCTACTTTCTCTTGCCCCTCTTGACCCCGTTCTCATTTCAAGAGATAGCATGATCCAGTATGTGCTTTATCACGCTATCTTGAGTTGAGATCGTGGCAGAGTCATTTTGGTTGACCCATCTGTTATCCAACATGAAAGACCTCTGGAGCATGTACTGGAGGTGCTCTACAAGGCGTACCACGATTTAGTGTGTGCTAGTTTCACACTTTTAACCTGATTCTTATCTCTAACCCCTGGACTGTACCTAACCCTAACCCTATCTTAGAACCCACTGGCAACCCTAACCCTTACCCCTATTCTTTGATGACGTAAAGTCGTGAGCAAATGTTACTGGAGGGAATGTTGGTCATTGTTTTTAATACCTAGGGTGATGTTTGTTTGTTATTCTAAATACTAGCTTTAGTCTTCCTAAGTGGCTTCATGACATGGACACCATCATTCACGACTCCTTTTCTCTTCCGTTGTATCCCCAGATGACGATGTCAGGGAATCACTACCTGATGTTGACTACTGTAGGAGACCTGTATAGCTGGGGTAGCAATGAAGCAGGCCAGCTAGGCATGGGAAACAGAGTCAGTCAGGTAGGAAATGATTCAATTTCAAAATTCTTAGAGAAGATACCAGTGGCAGTATAGTTAAAACCGCTTTATCAGACACCTGCCTAGAAAGCTGTATACTGATTATTTTGTCTTCAATGGATTCTCAACCGCCTGTCTATGGAGAACACATTTTGTTTTTCTTGAAATATGTATGAAAGGAACCTGTACACTGTACATAAAGCCCACCTTTCTTGTTTAAAATGAGCAGTCTCTTATACAGGTTCCACTACCATGTAACTCTTATGTCACTATTATGGTTTGAGGCACAAGGGAAAGTAAAGTCAAAGTGAGCCCTATAGTTTAGTTCATTAGGTGTACGCAGGATTTTTTTTAATGGGAAAAATAGACTCTTTTGCAAGGGTGTACAATGGAAGCCATGTACATATACAGTAGAAGTGTGAAGTAAATGAAGAGTCTGCCTACGGTAGGTGTAATGTATCAATTTGTTTGATAAACTCACTGTAAAGTAAATCAAACTACAGCAACCTTTACAGAAAGGTTTTTCAGAAAATTTCAAAATCATGCTTTAAAAATGTCACATAGTTCCAAACACTTTTAATTGCTTAAATACAATCCATGACAATGTTATCATAATAGTTGTTTGTACTGTTTTTAGCAGGATATTGGTTTACTCCGATTTTGTTTAATGTACAGAGTGTCCCAGTTCTCATCAACCGATCAAGGGATGATCAGTTTGTTGCGGTAGCTGCTGGCTCCCGTTTCTCACTGGCTGTTAATTATCAGAACCAAGCTGTAGCTTGGGGGTCAGGGGACTATGGAAAGGTAAGAAAGATAACGTAGAAGGATGTATTGCTGTAGGATTGTAAAGGCTCATTTTGGCATACTTGTTGGTTTATCAAATGTTGATTCTATCTTGGAAGATTTGAGAGAAAAAATGCTTTGCATCATGCAAGCAATTCCCAGAATAACCACTAGATGAGACAAAGTCCTTGACTCGTGAATAGTTGCAATTGATTTAAATTGAAGGCAACTTGACGGCAACTGCCAATCTTTACTGAAGAGATAGGAGTTTGCAAATTGCAAGTGATTGGAGGGATTGCGATTGAATCCCAATCTATTCTTCATGAGACAGGATCAACATCCATTTTCACCCAGAAATGCCAGCTTTATTGTGCTTATAAACAAATTTATTTTTCATATTACCTTCTAATATACTTGTAAAAGATTAGTTGTAATATGAAGAGTACTTGCTTGATTAACAAACACTGATCATCTTGAAGAGTGAAATGATCGATACTTAATGAACTTATTCATGAAGCAACAAATCTGTACAGTTTGTTTGTTGAAGCCTGTGTCTTCTCATATTTTCTTTTAGTGTAAATAAAGATAACACAAGTTTGCAGTACTAAGGGGAGATGCTTTATTAGAGACAATTTGGAAATAATGATTTCATTAGCACATCATCATACACGTATTTGGTGCTGTGACCTTCTCTTTGACAGCTTGGCATGGAAACTCAAAAGACGATGCATCTTCCACCCTTCCCCACATCGGCCTACCCGGACCACAGGTCAGGTTCTAAGAACACCCACAGGACCTTCCTTCAACCCACCATCATACCAGGCATACCAGCTATACATGTAGAGAGGGAGAGTATAGCCAGCTGTGATAGCAGTGATGAGAGCTCCGATGGGGAGGATGAGGTAAGGAGACGAGGATTGGAGTGATGATGGTCGTCGTCATAGTAATGATGTTGGTAGTTTTGGGGAGGAAGATGTTTGTGATGGAGGTGAGGAGGATGTAGGCAGTGTGATATGACTGAGAAAATGGAGGATATTGATGGTAAATATTGAGATTTTAACATGGTTGATGATAATGAGGAGGAGGATATTGGTGTTAGTGGTAGTGTTGGTGGTGGTGGTGGTGGTGGTGGTGGTGGTGGTGGTGTTGTTGGTGGTAGTGGTGGTTGTTGTGGTGGTGGTGGTGGTGGTGATGATGATTATGATTATGATTTTGATTTTGATTTTGATGATGGTGATAATTATGATGATGGTGATTTTTTATTGTAAAGAGGATAATGATTATAATGAATGTCATTATATTAGAGAAAAATACATTCCCTGACCCAGCCCCTTCAGCTACATGTATGGTAAAGGAAAGCTCTGTCTCAATGTTACACATTGTAATTAGCATCCATTATTAACAACAGTTTAGTAATACATGAAATATGAAGGAGATTTTATCAGAACTTGCACTCATATTTCAGAACATTCTGTTAATGATATCACCAAATGTTGAGCAAGTACCCTAATCTAAACCTTATTTTGATGCAAGGTCATGGATAGAACCCAATTTTGTGATAAACCTCAGTCGAATCATAATTTTCTATATCGTTGTGTATTCAGCTCCAGGATAGTGGGGTATTAGAGTCCATCATCTCAGGCCTACCTGACTTAGCTCAGCCAGATGAAGATCTACCAGTCTATGGCAAGCCAAGTCTCTCTCTTACTCTCACACATTTGCAGGTAAGTAAAATCTCTATAATTCTGTGTGTCTGCAACTCATAAGTTACATAAATGTTGTGCTTCCTGGGAGAAAATTCAATTGTGTTAACCTATTTGTGGCTTACACACAGTAAGTAATTGAAAACAAGTCCGAAAAAATGTTGGAGCCAGTAGGATTTGAACCTGTCACCTGACTCATAATTTATCATGAAGTTCATAGAAAGAGGTGAGAAGAGACAAGGGAAGGAAAGGATTCATTTACATTACCAAATTTGAGTGCAATCTCATTTCTCTGTCATTTATTTCATGTTAGGATTATTCATTTGGGGTAAAACAGTATTTAGTCAGCGATTCAAATACATTTACCCTAAGGTACCATCATATATCACCTCTAAATTAATTTGGATTAATTTATATTGTCTTCAGAGATGCCAATTTCAAGGCCATTGCCTAATTTTAGGCTGTGTCACCTCTTTATCCATTTCATGCATTTTTTTAAAAGGCTTTTTTAAAATTCTTTCCAGAATTCACATTGTACTATGTGAATGAATTCACAAAGTATTATTTGAGGCTCCATCATGTATGGGCATCTTTTCAGGCTTAATAAGAAAAAACTATTGGCATCCCTATTCATATAATACAAATCTACTGTGTCTTTTTATAATTTGCCCAGACCTTCTTCAGCACTGCAACCATCCTACACCATGCAGTCAACACAGAACACTGGTGGTTAGCAGTGGAATTAAGCCAACAGACTGGTGCTCATATCTCAGCATTAGGCTACAGTCTCAGAGAATTAGAGACTGGACTTATTAGTGATCACCAAGCACACCAGGAGAAAGTAGTGACTACTGTCACCAAGTATTTAAGGTATTGTGAGATTTCAGATGTGGAATGATTCAAGATTTTCATGAGATTTAATCACAATTGAAATAATATGGGGAAGAAGAGGAAAAATTGTCTGAAATTTTCGAAATTCTTTATCGTTGTTTGACTGATTGGTATATCTGAAAGTCATTTGAAAGGAATTATTCTTGGGTTTATGAAGAAAATTTAAAAACAAGATAATTTTGGGGATCTTAGTTCTTAGTTCTTACTTCTATTTCTCATTATTTGTAATGAATTTCTTCCACTGTCACATAGATTGGTTTTAGAGAAAGCACCAACTTCCAGGTTCAATGAAGCTATCGTCATAGAAACTGGCAAGCAGCTGTTGATCCAGGTATAATCCCTCTTTCCCTTAAAATCGATTCAATCTATTTGCATGTTTAGTTGATGAGATTAAAGACCATTGAAAAGTAATTACTGGCCTCACATTTGACATCCAATGCAGATGCTGTGGACAATATGAGACTACTTAATTTTAGAAATAAGATTTTCTGTTTAAAATGTTTACATGATGGTCCTGCCATTGCAAAAATATAATAAACAATATATCTGTTAACATGCATGTCATTCTGTTATCACCATTTGATACTACAATGTTGTTCATTGTGATATTATATCCTATATATTTAAATTTGGTAGTGGATATTTGATTCAGATTTTCATTTCATTTTCCTAATTCATGTAACCAGTTGATATAAGCTCCGATAATTAAGTTGTTTCGTTTCTGTGAAAAATCTAAAAGTACAGTGTCAATTAAACCCCATGTGAAATTTACCTGGAATCAATGGATTTGTTTTCATAGATCTTCCACTACTGGCATCGTCATCAGCACCTAGCTATCAATGAATTGGAATCTCTTCTTCTACCTCATCTAGATCTACTGGCTCAGCCACTCAGTTCATTACTCTTCAGGTTAGTCAGGTTATTGAAGTCCAAAGAGCTTAAAGGGCCTTGCAGGGATTGGAACGTTGAAAATCTCAAAACTTGATAAAAGGGCCAAAATATTGTAAAAAGTCATATTTGAAATTTTTCTTAATGTGGCAAACTGTTCCTTATTAGCAGAATTACAGTCATTTTCTGTTCAAATTTGAATTTTGCAACTCGCAGTGTTTTCTTCACCCAATTAGTTTTGTAAGAAATGAGTGCTTCAATCTTCACTCTTAGAGAAAAAAAAACACAGCGTCTTTTGATCTCCAATTTTGCACATACCTTCATAAATCTGCTGCAGTTTGCCGCGTCATATCTTAATGATCCTTGAGGATGCATATTCTGCAGGAATCTTTTATAGAGGATAGGAACTATGGGGAAGGTTTTGAATTCAGTTATTGGCCAAGAATTTGTTTTTCTCACTATTCCTTAGAGGTACATGTGTATAAAACAGAATATCATGAAGAGAAATGAAGCAAAGTTGAGATTGGAATCTGTTACGACAGTTTCAATTGCAATCTGTATGTTTTCTCAGATAAGACATAGATAATCAAAGCAAACATGTTTAGAGTTAATTAACTAACCATCGATTGTGTACTATCCTTTGTTTCTCAGTGTGGATGAAGGTGCAAGAGATAAAGAATCAGAGCCAGGCAAAGCCGACTACCTCATACCTCCAGCATTCTTAGATCGCTTCAGCTCTTCGTTCTGCTTAGAGATCACCAACCATGTAGTGGCCTCTGTCTCCAGTAGTCAGCCCTCGTTGGCAAACCTAGACCAGGTACTGTCTACTTTCATTCCAGTTCAAACCAGTTCCAACCAGTTGAGACTGGATGCAGCCGCCGCCACTGCTTCGTCTTCGTACGACAGTGTGCCTGCAGAGAAGCTCTGGCAGGAGATCCTGTTCAACCTAAGGAAGGATGCCATGTCTCAGAGTTACATCAGACTTTCCGGGAAGGATCTAGCAGCCTTGGTGCCTGGAGGCGGGTCACCATACGAGGGCGGGAGCAGGGTGTCATTGGAATGTGTGGTGTTTACCTGCGGGCATCACTATCAGAGGCAGGATTTGAAGCATCAGGTCATGTCAACGTGGGGTACAGACATGGAGGCTCTCCCCGTCCCTCTTCCCATCACTCAGAAAGCATTACAGGCCATGTATACCGATGAAGGGGATAAGACATTACCCGGGGCATGCCCTCGATGCATACATAGTGCAATATTGGCCTACCAAAAAGAGTAATTCTGTGAAAGACAACTCTGAAGAGCATCATGCGGGCAAACGGGGATCTGTGCATTTATTATTGTGTTTGTGTCTCTTAAAAATGAATGGTTATCGTTAGCCAAATTTCTAGAAATTATTTGAATATATGCAACATGAGCATAAGATGAAATACTAGGCCCTATCTTATAAATAGTTATGCAACATGATATTAATTAAAACTGTACTTAATAGAGATAGGTGTATGTAAGTTTGCATTGATTGGAGGACCTGCGATCAATGGGGATCAGACCTTACTCTTTATAAGACAGGACCCAGATTAACATCCATTTGATAGGACTCAACTCTGCTACAAGCATCCGCATACCATCTGACCAGTTAGTGTGAAAAAGCTTCTGTACGGTATATACCTGTAGACAATTTGGCTTTTTCTCAGACTTGTGGCATAAGGAAAGAATCCTTCCTCCACATCTAGTTGCGATGCTTCCTCCATTCATCTACCAGTAAGTCATATTAGAGATGCTTGTGCGTCTACTTGTTTGTTGTAAGACTATTTTTACTCGATATGTTACTCATTCTGCTGTAAACAGTGTAAATATTCATGTAATATACAGATAGATATGTATCTTTAATTTTATCTTTTACGCAAATTTCTATGCCAACCTTTTCGCATGAAAGATGATTTTATGCATCAATGTTCTTCCATGAAATAACTTGCCATGTTTCTTTCAGGTCGTTAAAAGAATTTTTGTTTGTCTCCCTTTGTCGTGATTGACATGAGAATCTGCTACAGCCATTTTGTGATAGATGTGCTAGCAAAAGAAAGTCATTGTGGTTGTATATATTTGAAGTTTAAGAAGTGATTTGAAATATGCAAGTAACTTGTCTCATATACCGGCAAATAGAAACAGAGAAGAGCTTTGGAGAAAGCCTTAATTACAGTGCTAGTACCTAGATCAAATTATCTACCTTCACATTATCTAAAGTTGGTTCAGAATCGAACCTGGCATTCTAAATATATTTATTCACACCTTATTATAATGCCTTTATCCTACTTTTTTTTTTTATGTTATAGTTTGATGATTTTAGTAGAGTAAGCTTGTTTCTTTATCTCACATAACCTACCACATAAGTATTGTATTAAGCATTATTTGTAGTATTGGCCTAACCAAAAACCCACCTGTCACTTTTAACTGAACTAATATTAGAGACAATAATGAATACATTTTGAAAATATAAGTTACAAACTATTATGTTTTGACAAGTTTCAATCACTATACTCTTACCTTTACAAATGTATATCCAAAGTAATTGCTTATATTTTTGTAATTCTATTATTATTTTTCTAATTCTATTATTATTAGTCATCTCAATGCTGTAGATTCGTCCGCCATACAGCTATCAATACGACTCATATTTCATCCATGACTCAAATTGTCAAATTATGTAAGAAAGAACACTAACACAGTTCTGAAATGATATTTCTCCACTCATTTGAATCACTTTGGCTAAAGTATGCACTGAAATAATGTTTGTTTTATATCTGGATTGCTTGAATCTGTCATTGAAATATATCTTCCCCCAATACTTTTTAAAAAGCCCTTAAGACCTATCTTTTCTTACATATTACCGGTAAGTGTTTTCATTTTACTGTATTATGTTCACGTTCTCCAAGTTTATAATGTAAAGCGCCTTGAGAGTCATATATTAATTATTATTTGCGAAACAAATTTAATGTTATATTATAATCATTCTGCTGAGATTGTGTAATCTTGGATATCACAGGGTTTTATCATGGAAATCAGAAAAATTAGCCCTCATGAAAAACATCAAGAAAGTTTAATCATTTGTCAAAATTCTATTAGTTTGGGAAACATTCATGATTTTTGTTAATTATTTGAATTCGATGTGTTGCAAAACTGTATAACATGAATGCTTTCTTTGTATGTTGGACACTTTATGTAACTACTAGTTCTTTATCGCCAGAGTGAAAAAGTGAAAACCTTGGCTAAAAGAAATATTTGACTGCGAGGGTCTATCATCTGTTGAGAGCCAGAAGGTTGTTTACTGTGTGTTAAATTATTTGAGTTAGTGCCTTTCTGGCTCTAGGCATATGATATTATGGTAATTACCGGGTAGACACTTTTGCAGTAGTTAAGTTTTAATTTCAATTCTATTTAGATTGCCAAATTTTGATGCAGTTCATGGTGACTGCCAATGGTTATGGAGCTGTAAATTTTCATGGGGTATTTCACATACGCATGCAGGTGTTATATGCTTGAGTGCTTAGTAGTGGACTAATATACCCCAAAATAAGACACCCTCAACGCTGAACCGGAGACAGTCCTTGTCTCTGACTCTCAATCTCTATCCTGACGGTTGTATGGGGGGTTTGCTCGATGAGTGAAGACATCTTGCTGTGTGGGATGCGTGTGAGGGAGGACACAGATGATTGAAGAATAACAAATATATAAAAACGGACAGAATCTGGACTAGAGTTGAGGCTGTATACAACTGACAGCTTTGTAAGTGCATAAACAGCCTGAATGGGATTGGATAGATCCTGTAATTAACAAATAAAAAACATACATCATTTGTTTTATAGAACGAAACCCTAGATCTTTGTTATTTGATGTAACATAAATTAATTTCAAGATTTTTTTGTGTCACTATTGCTGATAATTAAATCCCAAGTTTAATAGGCTTACTTTAGCAGACATACAGTGATAAACGCATTTACCGTATCTCTATACACGTTTTCGGCAGTGGTATGTATGCATAGGCCCACACAGTATAAGTGCAGTAACCTTTCCGCACACTTATAAATCGTTGGATAGTATTGGAAACTATTGCACGCTTTTTCATGAAAAAAATGTGGGATAGTCTCAGTAAATGAATCACAAGTGACTGCATTTGATCAATCATAAGGTTACGATCTAGGAGTGAGTCGTATAATATCAAATATTCTATCAATTTATTATTAATATGCTTCCCGGTCTTGCAATAATCAAAATGCAAGTTTTATAGGCATTGGTTATTTCTGTGTAATATCAGTTTTTATGAAATTCCACGTCACATTTAAAATGGTCTTTCTTGTGTCTGGCCAAATCTCAGGAATTGATTGAATGTTTGGTAATCAGAACTAAAATGGAACAAAATTATCAATTACATAGTTTCTATGAATTCAAATAGATTTTGATTACAATTTTTGAAAGGGTGAATTTTTAAATTCATAAGGGTGAATTAATTAAGAACTCTTTTGCAAATGAAAAGAAATTTAGAAATTATATATGATTTTTTAAATTCTATTTTTGTTACACTGTAATAAATTAAAAGTACATCATCTTGCTGTATACTATACAACATATTTTATATTCCCTTGTCTTTTAGGGCATATACTTTAATTTTAAAGTGTTTGGTATGGGTATGAGCTACATGTTTTTGAAAGGCTATTCAATATGCTTGGCAGATCTTTTCCTCATTAGGTATTGACCAACTCTAGGGTTCAACTCATGTATTTTCCGTTGGGATGATTTTCAGTATTTGGAAACACAAGTATGAAATAGGAACAAAAACTAGTAAAAGTTTTATTTTGGATGCATTTTGTATATGTTAGTTTATGTGTAATAACAATTGCATGTTGTATTTTATTTTTTAAAGAAATATCAAATATAATTATATGTAAAAAAGGAAGAAGAAAAAAAAGAAAGTTGCAATCTGTTCATTAGGTCCTACATGTGCTTTAAATGGAATATTTTTGCAATGCAATGTACAAATAAAGTGGAATCTTTATATATGATAAATGTTGGTTTCCTTGTATATTGTTTTTGTACTTCATTGCATGGTTTCTTTCTCTGTTTAGTTTTCATACAGGTTTGTTTAACCTAATGTTATTAGTAATTACATGAAATTGATGTATGCTTCAACTCTTACTATTTTCATCACTTCCGTTCTGTCTACTCTACTTCTCTCTCATTCTGTCTTCTTCACTCGTAATCCTTCTCCAGCCCCAACTCGTATTTCTGGACATCGTTTCAAGAAACCATCACAATACTAACAACTCAAGCAATGACTGACTCGATAACAACAAATTTCATAACTTTGTTCTAAACAAAGCTTTATTTTTTGCAACATTCACATGCTACAATTAATTACAAAAAAGAAGGGAGAAAAAAAAAAGGAAACAGAAATCTGCAATGCAAGATTGTAGGAAATAGTTTACACAAAAGGACAGAAATTAAGCGTGTAAATTAGAAAGTTTGCATGGCATTCTACAAAACTTGACTCACCAAATATAAAACCTAGAACTAGCACTGACCTTGTATGACCATTTCTTTGACTTCATCTTTCTCATTTCTTGAGAAAAATTCACGACCAGCTGCATCTTTTCTACTGCCCTTAAGCAGACATTTCATCTCATATTTTGGGTTCGAAAAGAACAAATTTAGGCTTACACGTATATCAATAACAAAATACAACTTGATCCCCTTTTCACACTTGGACCGCATATCCAAAATATCAAAGTACATATACCATAAACTATTTTGTTTTTGTTCCAAATGAAGTTACTATAAGAGAATATTTCTTTCAGTCTTCCCAGACAAGACTTTCTTTCATTTGACATCAATTCTGTTTAAAGACAATAGAAAGATAATGTTCAACTTTGGTCATTGTTTTATGCATATTCATTCGCATTTATCAAGCTACACAGACTACACACATGACATACTGACGGACACAGTGAGTGTGTGCACATTGTTTTCAACTATTGCAGATAGATAGATACACTTGTTTGCCAGGTTGAAATAAGTTGACATAAAATGACAGCTAAGGTTATTCACAGTGACATAATCTTCTTGTTTGTGGTATAACTGAGTGCAATGGTTCCACCGTGCTTTAAGGAAAGAGTCCCATACATCCTCTTAGTCGGATGCTGGATTACAGTAGATCAATGATAACCCTCGTGTGACACATATTCACTCATGTAGGCTCTGGCGTAATTAATCCTACCGAGAACAAGTGTCTACTTGACGTATATTCCTGCAAACAGCACCACAATTTTAAAAGGAGCACTATACATTCATGGTTTACTCTATCTGATGTTGTATTACCAGATAACATATTCAATATTACAGGTCCCACTCTTATAACACAAAGTTATCAGATACGGTATCTGTAATTCACAGCTATTCCACGTAAACATTCCTAAGAGATAGATTGAAAACAATTTGCATGTTCTTAAACTTTCTGAAGTCGAGACCACGTAGGAAACGGATACAGGGATTAATGATGATGGTGGTGATAGTGGTGGTGATAAGAAATAAATGGTGACAGAATTGAGGAAAGTTGGTTGGTTGACAAGCATGGGAAAAGGCAGACAGGGAATGTGATAGAGAAATTGGTAATGATCAAAACCAGATCACCGTTCTTCAAGTCCAGCAATCCTTATTCTCAACATGGAAATCCCCCAAGTAGCTCTGAAACACAGAATATTAGATATACCCTAAACTTCCATATTACCAGCATGCAACAAATTGTTCTGCGTGCTCTTCAAGACTGTATTCTCCAAATCTAGGCCTTGTTAAATCATCTACGTCCGGGAATATCGAATCGGCTTTGTCCACTCACTTCATCCTGCTTCATCCTTTGCATAAACACTGTTCATGTATCAACACCTACCTATTCTTGAGTGGCTTTTATATTTGTCTCTTAAAATGAAGTTTCGTAGGGCCCACAACTAGTCAAAATTCACACAATCTAAAACAGCTACCAAGCAAGCAAAGTTAGCATTTTTTAAACACACATCTTTTTTTTGGATATAGTTTACACAGGAGCTAAGGAGCAATAATATGAATCTTACGATAAGTTTTAAACTATGCACAATCCACACATTAATATTTAGTAACGTACATGGTGATCTATTTCCCATTTTGTTTCTCCAACTGAAGCGTTGATGATGTTGCAGTTAAACCGGGATAGGATATAGATTTCTTTTACAATTAACATGGATTAAAAGTATCATGAGTACACTTAGTAGGGATAAGCTACACAGTAATCAATTCATAGCTGTTTACTTTCTTCACAGGTTAAAATGGCTTAGCTAAGTTACCTAATTGTACATGATTTTTTTATCACAAATAACTTCTCTTATGCAAGTTCTAAATTTTATGAATCTACTTCTCTACAAACATTACAATATTGGAACTGTTCCATCTGACATTAGCTATAACTCTTACACCACGTGGGCGAGTCCAGAATGACATTTAAATTATGAACGATATTGAGAGATAATGTTGCTACAGATAAACTACATTTTCACTAAATCACTCTACAAGTATGTATAACATCTTAAATGCTTTGTCGTTGTTTAAGATGTGATGGGACAACACTATGAACGCCTATTAACAAAAATGTGTATCATCCTGCCATAGAATTAAGAAGTTCCTCAAAAAACATCTGTATTTTACTCCTTTCTGAAATTTTGCTTCAGTAAATATTCTTAATAAGAATCTACAGTCCAAATATGCTTCCAGCCTCTTAATATTTCTAGAGGGAAAGTATACCCTTTGGCTTAAATGCAGTCAAAGTTGGACCTAATTATTCATAAAATCAATAATTAAATAAGTCAAGTTTGATATAAAGTCACCACATTACAGTCAAAGAGAGCTGCAAAAAGTAAACACTTTTTTTTCTTTCAATCAAAAATGTGACGATTAGGAACACTTGGTAAATATATAGAGGAAAGGGGACTTACAATATATCTATCAATATATCTTATATCTATGTAGTAATGGATCAAACAGAATCAATTGCAGAGATCTTTGGATTATCGTAAGATAGAGTATCCTAACCAATAACAGAACAGTATTTCAGATAGGAACAAAGTCTGCAGTGCACTGATATTATATTTGAAAGGTAAAAAGTAGACTCATTTTTGAGCAGGTGTTTTTGGACTAACATTCCTCTGTTTTTTCATAACCAATGTATCTTTTCAACAATGGTGTTCATATTCATATCATAATCAAGTGAGGCCTACAATATGAATCACAAAAAGGGATGAGCAAAAAGCTTATACCTATCGTCAGAATTTGAACACAAAATGAATCTGAGATGTCTGCATTTGAATTCCACTTCTTGAGAGCGAACGTGACTTTGACATATATTTGTATAGGTGTCTGCATATGTTTATTATCACATCTTTAAAACTAACACATGAAACTGCTACACAATGGTCTAATCTACTCTACAGCATTACGTCTTCAGATTTTTCCTAGCAATAATCCGGACATTCAAGGATTGGGAACATTCATCTGAGCAAACATAAATGATTTTTTTAAATGTTTGAACAACATAATACAAATAAATCAAAAGTAAATTGGATAGTCATCATTACATTGTAAATTTATATTACAACCTATTTACAATGCTGGGAAGAAACTTTGTGACACTATTATGGACCATACCATGTGTTATATATCACTGTCCGAGTACAATGATGGGTTTACCCATTGATCATAAACATCAAGTGCATCGTGACTAAATTGTCTCTAGGACAGCATCATACGGCAGTATCTTATTTTTCAACAGAGACATAATTATACACAAAGAAAAAAAAAGGTGTCACAGAATTTCATCCACAGATTACGTAAGTTTAAGAGCAATGACCAGCAAGGACACTCCCTTCATTTAGCCCCTGAAAAGTGGGTGTGGTCAATGCGTCCTACCGTCGTAGAGGTAGGAACCGATTGGTTCTTCATCTTCGCTAACATTTCCAGTTTGTCACTGGGTGAGAAGCTACATGCTTCTATATTGTCTGATTTTGTGATTTTCCTGGGCCAGAACTCTGGCTTTGTTGTATGTATCTCTCTCTCTTTCTCCCTCTATAAGTTAAGTTGGGAAGAGATGATGATATTGATGAGTGGTCTATGGATGTTCTTAATAACGACTCTCATATGCCAAGGCTCTATCCATGTACAAAAGTGATTTGAATCTAAAAACATGCCTTCAAAGAATATCACATGATAAACTAACCATCGATTGCAATCTGAAAATAAAAGTTTAGTGTTGCCACTAGACCAGAGGCATGGCTTTGAACAGTCCTTACAGCATGAGACCATCTCTTTAAGAGCTGTTTGTGAATTATCCTCCATTATAAACTGGAATCACCAACTATTGTGATCTATTCCTGTCCCTGGATCATGAACTGCAGATATTCCCACCTGGTACATAGAATTATGTGTACAATTCTTTACAAGAAGTGTTATGAACTGAAATATTTGCTCTACTTTTGTACAAGGACAGAATCCACAGCATGGTTAAGTATACAGCAGCAGGACCCACTAAACTACCACCATACATTATTGAGAGTTTATCAATCAATAAAGTCGGAGAATTCTCCATTACATGAACGATTCCTCAATTATACTTGTGGCTCTAACGAAAGTCCATCCGGACATTTCATAGTAGTATCTTAGATTACTTGTACAGCCCAGCGGGAATCATTTTAATCACATGGATCTACTACTTATCAACATGTATACTTAGAATGCAATATAAGGTACATCCATTCATAATTTCAACCAAATATCGGAATTTAAACTAAAATTATTCAGGCTCAGCCTCTCTTAATAAAATTTTACCATAAAAGCATAAGAATCACATAAAGAAAAATCATATCCAGATCTGTCTCCAGAATCTGTATATTGTTTCAGTTTAATCTCTCCCTTGACTATCTTGTATCAGAAAAGGGAGCAGACATTAAGCCTATATTTTCAATGGTATTTTCTGGGTTGGAAGGTTGGACAAAACTGTACCCACCAACAGCATATCACTATAAATCTGTAGAACTTTGGATTTGTGTTTAATTATCTATCGAAAGAAGTTTTCAATGAAAATTTCTACAAATGCTGACATAACAGTTTGTTTTTCCCTAACAATAAGTGGCCCTGAAAATAGATCTCAACGCACATATATTTCCATAGTACAATGTATTTAATATCATGTAACAATTTCTAAGATTTGTTTGTTATGAAACATAATCTCCAGAAATTCTAAATAATGCAGAACAAATACTATTTATTGTTTGAACATACCAAGACAGTACAACCTGTGTAAATTACCTACTTTAATATATGATTAAATTTACACAGTCATTTATTCAGTTTACGGAGCTATCATTATCACAAATATTTCACATAGATTGATTTTAAAGAAAATTCTTTGACCATTACACTTTGACATTGCTTTATGTTTTGTAGAAAACAAGACTATCACAAATGTAATGTATTTAAAATAACATTTCTAATCTACATTTTTTAAACATTTCTACAATCAATCAGAATTTATCTCCTACAAAAACTGGGAAGTTCCATACAAGTTTAAACTATTTCACTTTTAAATCAATTACTTACGACAAATGAATATTCAAATTTAAAGAACAAATGTCACTACTAAAAAAAAATATCACAAGTAGCACAGAACCAATGTATCATAGTAGATACACTGGTTTGGACATGTTATACACCATTTTGTAGATGAGCATTCATAGATACTTTAATTTCAACAATCTTTTAAGGAACTTTATGTGATGATCTATAAAAGCCAGTGATATTTATCTATCATGTACTTCATCCAGTCAAATATAGGGTTGTGTTACCCATGCATTACTGGTTGAAAGGTATCACAATTCCGTGTCCAAACGGTATCCATTATCAATCTATAAATACAGTGGGACATTACTGTCAAAATGCTGGCTATAATTTCAACATTGTCCTTTCAAATAAAAAAATGCATGATTATAAACTTCACAAGAAAAACATTGCAATACTCCATATCAACTCTTCATTTAGCTCCATTAATGAAACAGTAGAAGAAAGATGTTGAATTTCAGACATATGTATTATATGCTGGCTCAAATTATATCCGACTTTGAGAAAACTGTCCTGTACAACATTAGAAACATTCATCTTAAAAATAATGCTGATTTGTACATGCTGCAAGAGAAGAAAACAAAAAAGTTACAATAAATTCTTTAACAAGAGCATATTCTATTGTAACATAAGATATTTAGTACCATTATGCTTCCACAGCTTAATAGAATCAATTATAATGACTTCTGTTGTAAATGAACTAGCTCCAATATGACTTTATGAGTTTGGAAGGAAGGGGGAGGGGGGTGGGGACAACAAAAGGCAGTCATCAGTTTCATACAGTCACAAGCACACATTAGAACTAAAGGTGCATTGTTCACAAGGGGAAGGGGGCTAGGGATGTACACAAAATATTCAACAAGTCATTTTAAAGTTTGAACCTCTTTCTTACATGCGATGCATAAAGGGAAATCAACAATACGTATTTGTTTACAGACTGATCTACAACATACATTTACTCTAATTTCTTCTACAAAAAAAAGACAAAGTGTCAAGTAGTACAATCATACGTTTTTATCAAGAAGGAACATTGAATTGGAGAAACACCGCACCAAAACCTTCCACAATGTTAACTGGTTGGATTTCTGATTTGGCGTTCTAACTGCACATTCTCAGCATAACTGATAAGGACCATAAGTGTGGATATTCTACATCAGAGGTTGATCATTTGGGGGCTACCTATCATTTCCAGTTTCCATCCCATGTGGCTACTGAAAGTCCTTGAAACCTATCTCGATCACTAGTAGAGTAGTGTGTGACTCGTGTGTCCGGGTAGTCAGTCCACAATCCCAAGGATAAATTTGAAATGGTGAATTAGGATAGAATGGTCATGAGTGCAGATGTGCTCAAACTAAACAGACAGTACATCACATTAGTGTTAAGAAAAAATGTCTACATTAATTATAATTAATGTAAAGAAAAACTGACAAGAAGAAATAAAAAAAGGAAAAAGCTGGCGATCAGCTCTGGACAGACACCACTCAAGAACCCTATCAAGCTGTCTTGTGCGTGAATCTCATTCAAACATCCTTCTACAAATTCTGTACAAATACTGTCCAAAAGCGTTTATTTCATCATAATAAACCTCTGTACATGGCTTTGAGCCCAATTCAGATTTTTTACGCGGTTAGTACAACATGAATATTTTTTTGTTTTTTGATTTTTTGATTAATTTATGTATACAAAAAGACTGAATAATACTTGTTTTTGACTTTGAGTCATCATCATCACATTCATGAGTTTATGGTTTGGTTTACTGGTGAGCCTCTTCCAGCTCCACGCCCACGCTGTCACCGTTATAGGGTCCCTGTTTGGTGGTGGTAGGAAGGTCGTATCCGCCCTCGTGGAAGCTGGATACCGGTTCCCCTTCACCTTCCAAGTCAGCAGGTTCAATGTGGAACTCACCACCAAACTCTGTCTGGTTAGCAGGTGTGACGCTGATATCCTGTTCAGCCTGGTGATACATAACACCCTCTTCATCTGAGCTGGATGGTGAACTGGTGGTGGAATCTGAGTTGCCTGTTTGTCCCTGTTCTTCAACCTCCTCCTTCTCTACTTGGTTCTTTCCTCCGATGGTGGGTTCATCATGCTCGATGGTCACACCGCGACCACGCCCTGGTTCTGATTGTCCACTACGCTCCTTGCCTTCTTTTGGTTTCCTCTTTGTCTTCTTGTTGTTCCGCCTCTGTTGATCCATTCCAACTTGCTGTAAACCAATTCAATGCCAAAGAAATATAAATTAACTTCCATACCATCAGGCTCGGATCCAGGATTTCTTAGGGGTGGAGGCCCAAATTTTAAATCAATTTGAAATTTAGTGTGCTGAAATATGAAAATCGTGCCGGCCAATATTTTGCTCAGAGGGGGGGGGGGGGGGGGGGGGGGGGGGGGGTTAGTGAGCATGGCCATTGGAGAATCCCCCCCCCCCCTTAAGCACTGGGGGGGGGGGCATTTTTTTTACGGGGGGGGGGGGGGCCTGGATCCGCCACTGCATACCATACACTACTTATATTGTTGGTACAAATCAAATTTGTTAAAATCTATTTATAGGCCTACTCAATTGATTGGAGGGAGGGGGGGGGGGGGGGGGGGGGTTGGTACCGAACGAGCAATGTGATCATCCTTCCTCATAGAAAGAGTAGTTGAATAACAGCCAGGAAAACGAACAAAACAAAAAACAAACAATTCTGCTACGACCAACACTTACTTTTCTTGAGAACAAAATAGTGAAATCAAATTTGGTACCCATATGAATATAATACCAGGGCCCGTCTTATAAAGGGTTGATATTAATTGCAACTCATCTGCAATTGATATCAATTGCAACCATGTACAAAAGCGATAGGAGATTGCAAACTTGCGATTAATTGGAGGACTTTCAATCGCTTTGGACCAATCGCCACTCTTTATAAGACGGGGCCCACATCTCTTAACAGTGATCCCTTCTCAAGACCGTCTCTGTACATACCTGTTGATATCCCCACATCCTGGGGCCTTGTCCCTGGTAAGCATTCATGGGTAGTCCAGGACCCATACCCATACCGTTCCCCATTCTTTGGTTGGGTCTTGGTCCTCTCGGGTGTGCAAGGTTGCTTGGGATGTAGAGTCCACTGAAAGATTTAGAGCAAAATATATATCAACAGACTTTGACTTTGGTGATCAATCCATTTCCAAGTGTCATCAATACAAGCTCGTCTTCCTTGTGTGAAGCCTATCTAAGTCATCTGATTCTGTGATCTATGTGTAGCAACCACATTGTTAAGCATAATATGTAACAACAAGTGTTGGTTGTGAAGCTATTCCCCTTTTTTTACACCCATGCCCCCCCCAAAACAAAAAACAAAAAAATCCCCAGCATCAAATGTCAGTTCCATTCCTACCAACTCCTTATCTTGCAAAGTCTATCTTAGAATTATCAACTCCAAATTCATAACTATGTAGAGAGCGTCAAAATGATTTTCATGATAGTGGGAGTAGTGGAGAGCAAGAGGATAAAGAGAGAGAGAAAGACAAGGGCAAATAGTTATACCTTCTTGGTCTTGAACCATCGCTGCCGGCCCATTGAGACGTCACCATTCCACCCACCTCCAACTGACCTCCGCGAGCATTCATTGAACGCTTGTCTGAAAACAAGAACGAGAAGAAACAAAATCAGATAGCTATAACAGCGTGAGGAATCTTGATGAACAGCAAGGTCACTATCAGAAAATACAAGACAAAGGGTATGTATTATTGCTGGCACAACTTGTAATATCATTATAAACAGCGCAGCAACACCACCCCCCCCCCCTCCCCCCACAAACGTTTTCAAGAAGAAAACTTCCCCAAATACTAGTAATATACATGTGAAAATCAACAATATACACATTTGATGAAAAAGACAAAAGAACAAAAGAATCAATTACACTTCAAAAAGAGAGACACATGAGAAAACACAATTTCTTTCCATTAAAATAAATATCTAATGAAGACAACAGATAATGCTGAAAATACAGTCAAACCCACTTTAGTGACCACCTGTCAACAAAGGCCACATTTGTTGTTTCCCTTGAAAATGGTTTCTCATTGAATCGTGCACTAAAGGAACCTGTCTACAAAGACCACCTGTCTACAAAGGCCACTTTTAGTGTTTCCCTTGGGCGGTTGCTATAGACAAGTTTGACTGTACTACATTTCTGAAGTGTCTTTGAGCTTCTTTCTTTCAAATGTCAAAACAAGCATAGTGAGACGACTTACTCCTTCCCATAGGTGGCATGTGCATAGGATGCATGGGTGCAGGTGCACCTTGTCTCATGTAGTAGAAGTCTTGACCAGGGAACTGGGGTCCAGCAGGGGGACCCATCTGAGGGATCATGGGATGTCTGAAGTTGAGCATCACACCTTCAAGGATCACCTGCTTCATACGCTCTACCTTACCAACTTGGTCCATCTGAAACCACAAAGGTACAATCACAATGACTTGTTAGGTATGCCTCACGCTACCATACTGGCCCATTTAAATACAAGATGGGATGCAATCACAGACTTATCACTGGCTTGCTTGATTGTATCGTTTCAAAAAATATTCAGATGATAACATATGAAAGTGGACAGTTACTGGAAAATTCTGAAGAGGCTATAGAGGTGTTCATTCCTCAGTTCGTCAACCAATGATCACTATCTCAACACAACAGAATCACACAATGATTAATGCACATACATGGATAGTGAGGAATAAATGGAAAACCACATTAGTGAAGATTGTGACCAACTAAAACTAAATAGAAGAGAATATCAAGGTCATGACAGCGACAAAAAGATACACTTTCCCAGAATGGATTGAGAAGGGTGACAGAGTAGAAACAAAAGATGGACATAAGAAGTTTTGACAGAGGGGAATCGGAACATGAAGAGACAGAGATAAGAAGAGCTGTTAGCATTGACAGAGAGAAAAAGATACATCCTCCCCTCCCAGAATGGATTGAAGAGGGCGACGGAGTAGAAACAAAAGATGGACATAAGAAGTTTTGACAGAGGGGAATCGGAACATGAAGAGACAGATATGTTACCTTTCCATCACAGAGCTCCTTGAGGCTGCTGCATGTCATGGCCTTGTGGAGCTTGTACTGGAACAGCTTGCCATCGAAGAAGAGCCACGGGCAGCACAGATCCCAAGGAATGGGTGCGCCACACGCATCGTTGGCAAAGATAGCCGTCTCTACACCACGCATGAATAGTGCAGCGAGTTGGACTCCACGCGCTGTGATGTTGGGAATCTGTTTAGGAATACAGAGATCAGTTTGGATTTAAATCAAGATCAAGAAACCGAAGTTCTAACACTTCCAAGATAATTTGAGATGAATAATAAACAAATAGCTTCAATGGATGACTAGGGAGCTATGTCACCTTGGTTCATGAATGAAATCTAGATTTATATAAATTCATATGAGCAGCAGCAAAACAATGTGATCTGCCTAATGAGACTTTCCTTATTAGGACTGCTGGCGTAATCAGCTAAGCTGTCAATGATATGTATCGAAACCTAAGTGGCTACTAATCACAATTACACAATATATCAAAAAGAAAACAAATCTGCATTTTACTCTGAAATGTAAGACATATAGGGTAGAAATTAATATGTCCAGGAAATAAATGATTTAAAAGCTAAATGTCAAACACACCAAGATTGAAGACCGGAAACTGCTCTCAAATAAGACAACATTACTTCAAGTGGGTAGGGAAGATTTAGTTACTACATAATTACATTCTATCTATCAATCTGTAATGATATGAGTGTGAACATACTACAGTCAAAACTGCTTTAACGTCCACCTGTATAGAAAGACCACCTGCCTACAGAGACCATCTTTTTTTTTCCCTTTGAAAATGGTTTCTCATTGAAAAAAGTACTAAAGGCACCTGTACTTAAAGACCACCTGCCTATAAAGACCACCTTTCTTGTCTCCCTTGGGTGGTTTTTATAGACAGGTTTCACTATATCTATCATGTAATCAGTAATGATATAAGTGTGTACCTACCTTGAGGTCTTGCAGGGCTGTTGGGTTGTTGAGGATGGGAGATACACTCTGGGCAAGAATAGCATCAAGTTCATGCTTACGGAACAATGGAGGGCTGAAGTGCAGTAGATATCTGATAGAGAATACAAAAAGGTTTTCAATAGGTCAGTATCGCTGCTTGGTAGGTCAATGTGAACAGACGGTGAAAATGATTTAAAACTTGCAATCAAGGCTCGACACTAACAGACGTGTGAGACACAAATCTTGGTCCGGACCCCTAAAATGTCTTAAATTTCTAAATAGGGATCGTGTTTTAAGACATTAAAAAAACTCAAATCTGGACCCCTTAAAAAAAAAGGGTTACTGTGAGCCCTGCTTGCGACAGATATACAGTTTACTGCTTGTGAAACTATCGTAAGTTAAATTAATTGAGGCCTAAATAATGCAACAAACATACAAGGTTCTTAAATGACATAATTAATGTCTAGAGCTCGAAAAATTACCCCCCAAAATGACAAAACAATGACAACCATGAAGAGAATTGCCTTTTCAATAATCGTGAAATCGTAACTACTGATAAATGAGACATCACGAGCCGGCAATGGGGCTGGTGAAATATGAATGTGCCAACACTGGACTGGAGCAAGGCAATGCTAAGTTACAGTGCTCAGGACACCATGGAAGGCAAGTGAAACAAGTTAATGTGCGCAAACAAGAAGCCAAGGTGGAGATGATTTACAGCATCAGACTTGGAGCAAGTTTGCAATGAAACAATTTATGTTGTGATTTCTAGTAATCGAACTATAGGAGTTTCAAGCTTCGCATGAACGACTACCATAATATCAGCGTCACCTTTCAAAGAACATACACAAATCATACAATACATCCTGTCCCCCACCCTCCTATGTTTATCTTTATTGTAAACAGCTCATAGAGAGATGTTTTGAAGTGGTATACAGAATGCACTCAGATACTGTTCATCAATATAAACAAGAACACTTTCATTATGTATCCCTCTCTTCATATCTTAACAATGATCAATGCTCTTTGGAGCTCTGAACTTTCTACACAGAATATATGGTCATGCATAAAATCATGAATAAAAATCATCTCTGTAGTGGTACCTTGGATAAAGTACTATGGAGACCTAATGCATGAATTAAGCAATGACTGTTATACAATTTTTAAATATCTACCGGTATATACAGAATGCTACCATGTTTAATATAGACATTAGAGTGATAACCGGGGTTAAAAAAGGATATGTAGATTCCCAAAAGAATGGAGCACAGGGGTGATAGTGAGCACTAAAAAAGAAAAATTCCATTCAACCACAGTAAAAATAACAGAAGAGGATTCAGGGGGGAGGGGGGGGGGGGGGGATAGCATCTAACAACATCCCCCCCCCCCCTTTTGAGTAAGAAAATTGGGGGAAAATAGCAAAAAATCAGGAAGAATAGAGCAAATAAGGGAAAAATCAGGAAAATAGGGATACAATTTGGAAGAGAAAAAAAATTCAGGTAAAAAAGAAAAAAAAGGAAATATTATCAGGCTTACCTGACCACGCAGCAGAGGATGAGGGCGTGCTTTGGAACGTAAGGAGTCTTCATCATGGACGGCATATCACTCCTCAGGCATGAGAGGAACGCTCTCAGACGGTACTCCTTGTCTTCAGGCTCTCGACCCAGCCAGAGTTTGATGAGAGGGGGAGGAACCCAGTCCTTGACCGGTATGGCACTGACCACGTCGGGCTTCTGGATGGGCGTGTCTCGCCGTGACCACCATTCCTTGACGCAGATCTGAGGACCTTGCTCTGAAACAAGGGATGAAATCTCGTTCGTATCTTCAAAACTTATAAGAACTACATTCATCAAGTCTCAAAGCCTGTTGATAATCTATCAACGCATACATTTAACAAAATCTAATGTCTGCCCAATAGTAACTACCAAGTTTTGTTGTATCATATTCTCCACATATGGGCAGATTGAGGGTATTGGGTTTTCATTACTATGGATGGTTAAGTTTGAATTTATTTAAATTTATGCCATCAAATGAACCATTCTTCATATGTGGTCTGATCCAAGCTCTGGTAAGGCCATTAACACATCGCATTAACATCATCAATGATACTAAGATCTAAGATATGGTTGGTAACATACGGGACAAATAGCTTGGATTTGTTCATACACACAGTGATCACAAATATGATTCACTGTAAGAGGAAATCTTATTCCATTACATGAAATTATAGTCTGTTTGTAATGAGGCATATTTCAAATGTGAATCCACCTCTTCAAATTAAAATGGCTATGTGAACTACTAACAAAGGGTCAAAACTTATCTCCAAGATCAAACTACAGTGTACAGACTTGAAGTTGACTTATCAAGATTTTAAACCTTTACTCAATTCAGATTTAATCTGAAAGTAAAAGTGGCTAGATAAATGAATGTTAAAGAAGACGATGATCTACTTACTACTTTGGTGGTCTCCCGAGCCATTCTTCTGCATGATCTCTTCACCGACTTGAGAGATACTGAAGAGAATGCCATACACCATCTGCCTGACAGGACGATATAGCTGAACAGAGCAGGGGAATTCCCCACTGAGCTCATCCTCCAAGATTGAATTCAGCTTGATCTCACCCTGTATACAATAAAAAATTTGATTCAATCAAATAATAACACCTTCTGGGTATTATTATTATTATCACAAGTATTGACGTCAGCCTGTGCCTGAGAGGCGAAAAGCGAACTGAATCACTGTAACCCTTGGGTCTCTCCTCCCTGGATAACTTATTGGGGGTGTGCAGGTGGACCACTACACTGGGGTTTCTCCCTAATCTTGTGCGAATAGTGCAGCACTTTTTTAACATGCAAAGGTGGTGACTCTCCTCTCGCCTCCATTTAACGTCCTATGCGAGGGACCGACTGTTTTCAACTTGACATAGCCTGCGTCTATGAAACAGGGGAGGGGCACGTTAACACACAACACAGTGAATTTCTTGCGTTAATTACTTTGTTTCATCGATAAATGGGCATATAATATGATCCACGGATATAAGAGGCAACAGGTTCTGTTTCTGGAAGGAAATTGTAGACCTTCTTAGTCCAAAACACTGTTCAACCGTTTACTGCTTGTGGCACATAAGGGGTTTACCAGGGCTCTACACTTCAAGAAACTACATTGAAAGAAAAAGCACATTTTGACCATGATGACAGAACTCTTTCTCTCTAAGGTTAGAAAAACTATGTATCTCTGCTAATAAATGGATTGATGATTTCAGATGAATGAGACTTACGGAGGTGAGAATTTGAAGGACCTGGGGCGACATCTGGCCCTGATCATGTCTGTGTTTGGCGATGCGGATCAACTCCCTAGGGACCATGGGGAGGGGTGGGGCCGAGGCCTGAAGGTAGGCTGGGGTTGGCTGCTCCATCAGGGAGGGGATGTGTTGATTGGAGGGTCCGTTGCCAGAGTTCTAAAAAGAAAATCAACAAATATGTTTCTCTAATAACGGTGACTTGAGCTCATGCACGCCAGCTATTCTCCACTTCTGACAACAGATAGTCAACCTGTTCGAAACGTCGAGCCACTCCCACCACTCATCCTCTCCAAGCGCTATAGTTCTCCTTAGAACTATAAGCTAAGAAAGATAACCAACAGTCTTTTTCAAGACTACACAAACAGTCCTTTTCAGGACTACACACCCCCAAGAAAGATTACTGAGAGTCCTTTTCAGGACTCCTCAATCCTCTCTCTCTCTCTCTCTCTCTCACACACATGGTGCACCCGCAAGCCTACTGTATAACAATTAATGTGTGGAACATCAATTATTCCCTGATGATCAAACTCTCTGGTTTATAGATTCCGTGTCCTATGACTTGTAAAAAAAAAAAACAGGGGAAAAGGAAAAATTGATGTTTGTACTCTACCCAGAAATAAAAATATTGTATACAACAACTAGTAATCCAACCATTTAAAAAAATCCTTTTTATTGAGGTCCTATAGTTTGCAACACTAAAATGAGGAATCGTTTAATCATAAAACAGTAAATAGTAACAATGAATTAACCATGGTAGAGAAAGGAAATAATACAAAATTAATCAGGGTGGAATAAAGGATTGACAATCTTGTTTACATTATCATGTAAATTTGATATATCTAATGATTTCATTCTCCTTCAGATATTAGGTTTCAATAAGGGATCCCACACAAGGGTAATCATGTAAGTTTGAATGAGCTGCTTAACCTCAAGATTCTTTTTTTCAATAGGCCATAATATCAGGAACTGAAATACCAAATACCACTTTCATTTTTAAAATTCTTTCACAAGATGAATGACCTGTTGCAATCAAAGAGTTTCTTGTGTAAACCATAACTGTATTCTTATTCGTCAAATCACTCTTTGATAAAACTATGAATACTTATATAACATAACAACATTATTAGATATGGGAAAGAAAGAAAAAATCATATTTACCTCATTTTGGTCATCTGATTTTTGCCTGAAATTCAAGAGTAAAAGAAAAAGGAAAAGAATAGAATAAAAGCAAAAGTAATTAAAGCCTATCTGCACTAGTTTGGCCAGGAGGTATTAGACCTCCCTGCATGGTCAGTGACCGGTGTTTATCTCATCAATTCAGCTCTTAATTAACATTAAAAAAGAGAGGACCATGGGAGGACCAACGGTCACCACTTAGGCATTGTTGGCTAACTAGAGGGCGCAAGCCCACCCCCCCCCCCCCCACTCCGTGAATGGAGGGATACCATGCGTGTTCCCACAATGTCCAGTAAAGGGGTACTTATCAAGCACCAAAGTCTGGCTCATAGTACACACAAATCTGGCCCGTATTGACTTTACACACTGGACTTAGGGGGGTGTTTTCAAAAGGAGGGAAAATGCATATGCGTACCCTAAATATCACTGAGTGGGGGGGGGGGGGGGCGGGGCCGCAAGTAGCTATAATTAGTGCAGTGGGGCTTTACATGAAAGGTGGTCTATTTCAGAAAGATATTAATCTGCTCACTACAGCATAATTCCTATATTTATCTGCTGTAAAATACTAACATAGAAACCTTCAATGTCAATTTGTTATAGAAAAAACAAACCCATGTTATAAAAAATTTAAAAAATTAATGATGCACCTAATTTGAGAGAAACCCTACTATGACATGAATGGACTAATTTCATTGATGTACAACTAACAAGGCTTTCTTGATTTTCAATATGATACTACTACTACTAGATTAACTATGAAACATCTTCAACTTACCCTTCGTCAATGGAAACCTTGCCCATTGCGTTCTCAATTCTCTGCATATCAGAACCCTTCAAATAAAAAACAAACATGAAAAGTATGAAATAAAGTGTAGTTTACAGTTATGAAAGTACCTGATGGGAGAGGGAATAAGTTATGCAAAACAGAGAGAAAAAAAAGAAAGAAAGAGAACCAATGTTTTGTATATTGTGTATCTATTCAAGCTCTTGTATTGGGTGAAAAAGAATATGTAAAACAGAGAGAAAAAGAAGAAAGAAGAATAAGTAACCATTCTAGCTCTGGCAAGAAAGAAGATAAATAGGCGTAGTATTTTATTAAAAGCCAAGTGAAGATGATGTCTTTATAACATACTGTAGTGTAAGATAAGTTCAGTAGTACTTTATACATCCCATTATCCTTGATAATACATGGCTAATAAAACTAAAGAAATCAAGCGACCATAAGTCTGGTTAGTTTACACACAGGAAAAAGCCTCTTAAAACAGAAACATTTTGGCTGAAACCCAACTCCAACAACATTTCCTGGCATTGCAAATTTGCAATCAAGTACAGGAAGAACAAACATTAAACAGAATTACTGCTGATAGAAGTTAGTATAAAATAACTTCTTATTTTTATACCAACGCCTTTGAAAAAATATTTTAACAATACATGATAAATAAAAAGATATAATATTTACTAAATTGTATGGGAAAGGTAAAAAGAGATATTTCTCATTACCGTTATTAATAGTACCTGTATTATATTTTAATGGGAAGCCTAGATATACAAAAAATTAGAGTACAGTGATCTAAAAAAATATGACTTATTGATATTTGACAGAGGATTTCGACAGTAGGTTAATTAATTAGAAAGCAAGATGTCTCTGGTCTCTTACCTTATCCACATTAGGTTTTTGGGATCGGAAGTTGAAGCGTGGCCCTGGAGGAAACAAAAAGAGATTACGTTGAAATGAAGCAAAACTGAGAAATAGCTCTGCCATCCACTTCCTTCCTTTTACATCATTAACAAAATTTGAAATATGAATATAATTCTGTGACAAAGTCTGGACCCTTCTTAAAGTGACTCGGTAACAATGCCTCAGATTCTGAAAAAAAATCCTGGATTTAGCTCATGTGGCCATCATAATTGTAAACCGTAAGGTCAGTCAGGAATCCCATGACTTTTACAAGCCGATCGCCGGTCTGATCATCAAGATATTTATGATTGGAAATCGAAATTTAAAAAATTAATTTTCCTAATGGTTTTTATAACACTACAGTCTATTGGGGAAAATGAGTATGGTAAAACCGGTCACTCAAAGATTTTTACTTTTTTGAGGCACTTCATGATCATTTTGAAGCGTAATTTTGTTAGAGCTTCAATATTACACTATGCCTTTAATGTTTGTATAGCGAACTGGGAATAACAGCCGAGAAAGAATTAATTATTTACATAAGAATACCAATGATCTCTTTCTTAAAAGAAAAAATAAAATCAGTAGATATTTAAACAATGAATTGAACTAGAAACAAATATGGAGAGCTAATAAGGAAACATTAAATTCATCACACAGATCTGCATTTAGGCAATGTTAAGGAAATTATGTCCTCAATTCTGAAATGTAATTTCTCTAAACCTTCTAGTTAGTCCTCATAGAAAGATTAAAGCTTTTTTTTTCTACTATCACTTTTATGTTTTGCAAAGTGCAAACAAACTTGAGCTAGAGAATACTTCATTGAAATTAATGACGATGGTATGATACAAATACTGTATCCCACTTCGGTATTATGTTAACAATTCGGTAAAATAAATTCACTCAATATATAATTCATACACAATTTATTTCTACCTCAAGTCTTTTGTAACACACAACCATGTTGAATTTCTACTGTAATTGCATATTTTCATTTCCGACCTACTGATTAAAAGATTTTCATATTGAATAGATCAAGGCTCCACACCAATTTTGATTATTGGGGGTACGAATTGAATTTTTTCCAAATCTATATGCACGAGGTCCCTGTCCAAATTCTCAAATCAGGGGGGGGGGGGGGGGGTCCAAGTACAGGGGCCTGCTTGAAACGAGCCCTGCTTGAACTAACCCTGTAAGTTGGGGCTTTGATCGGATTGGAAGATCGGAGCGACACCCTCGCAACTGTGATCGGTATCTGCAAAAATAATCGGCAGACTCGGCTCATGATCGGCCCCCGATCCAATGATCGATAACAGGCCTAGCTTGAACCACATCATATCAAATCAAATCAAATCAAATTAAATCGAATTGCATACCTTTTCTGTGTCTGCTCCAGGCATCTTTGGTCCCTCTCCAGTAGAACTCAACGCTGGCCTTGAAGTGGCGCATCTTCTCGTCGATTCCACCCTTGTAGGAGTGGAAGACGTCCTGTCCGATGGCATCCAGGTCGTACATGTTGGTGATGTTACGGACGTAGTTAGCCACCAGTGGCAAGATGGCATCCAGAGGTGGCTGCACCAGCTGCTGGGCTCTCATCTGGTGTGGCAAACCAAACCAAACAATTGATCCTTTAAATGTTACTTCTTTATTGTTTAAATATCAATTGTATTTCATGAGAATGACATATTAATGCAGCATATTCATCCTATTTTTATCACAAATTTAACATTTTGTTCCAGTTGCATGTTCTGGCATGTTGTAATCCGTTCAAAAATTATTCTATTTATGCTCTTCTCAAAGTGACTTTGGGTGTTATTTAATGTTATATACTGCATATGTACACCTGTACATATACATGTATGAATATGTTATTGTTTAGACATTCATGAATGCTTTTAAACCAATGTGAGGGAAAGTTGGGAAGTATTCTAATGACTTTACAGTAGTTCATGACAATAAATGAAGGGCTTTAAATGATACATTCAAGAAAATGAACACAATTTTTTTAAAGAGAGAGAGTAGGGGAGTCTGATTTTTATACTACTGTACATACCCGAAGTCCATTGAGGGGATGATCAGGTCCTAATAGTGACCAGTGGAACAGAGCTAACTCCTCTTCGAGAAGAATGTGATTACCTGCAAATACAAATACATATCAAATACATTGTTAGAAGAATAAGTACAGTATCAATACTATTTCAAAAAGACAATTACAGCCAAAACTTTAGGTTGACTGAAATACTTGCTTTGAGACAAATTCTAAATAGTAATATTTATTTTCCTAGCACGGTTCAATAATTTTTCTGACTTCTCTACAATCCAGGGCTTGATGTGCGAGTCATCTCTGACAATCCAGTTGCCCTGGTGAATATGAGTAAACAGCATTTTGTAGTGTACTGCCTTTGTACAGATAATAGTGCATTAGGTGACTTTTCCCTTATAAATCAACATTCTGTTTTTCCTTCATTCTCTACAAAATAGTCAGCATCCGAATTAACACTTCAAATGAAAACAAAACTGAAAATATAGATTGAGGCAATCTATTCTTGAATAACACAAAGGACAGCAACAAACAATCATGAAGAAAAAGATTAATTAACGTAAATACCATACTCTTAAATCTAAATCCCAACCCATGGTTTCAATTAATACATGAATAACATAAGTTGTTGATTTGTCAGTAGTGATTATGATCTGCACCACAGCAAATGGGTTAAGGAGACTGGCATATCTAAAGGAGATTAGATGCAGTGAGTCACAATCAACTGATCAATATTTCATCCATGGTCATCACATCTCCCTCCTCAGCTCATGCTCAGCTAAGAAGATGCAGACGGGGGATTTAGAACCCCCAGCATCGTTGCTCACTCGCTCTGGCTTGCTCTGGGAGTGACTAAATGTTTACACTGGAGGGCTTTTTTGTAACGTGCTGGGAGATCGGCGAGAACATTGTGGCATGGCAAATTGTGTCCTGTGCAGGAAATCATGACCCACAGAGCTAGTTTGATTGAAATGTGTCCTGATTTAAAGCCTTTTTAAAACACAGCGAGATGAATGGTCAGTTTAATTTCAAATATAAAAAGGGCTTTTTTTTTGGGGGGGGGGGACGGACAAAATCTTGAACATTACATTTTGATGCTGTGTTAATCCCCACTCGAAGAAAAAACAAATAAATAAACGAATAAGTAATTTCACAAATGTGCTGATATTGGAAACTTGTGTTTTTCATAAGGAGAATGGATGAATTTTATGCAACCTAAATCTTCAATCTCATCTCAAATGATTTTATCCTTCTACATGTATATATTTTATCCTTCTACCTTTATGCCATAAATTCCATAAACTCAGCATTTCAATGTTCTTATCATAACAAGCAGTGCATACTCCTACCGGGATGCAAACTCTAACCTTGTTCCAGCATCACCTGAGCATCCTTTGTGATTAGGGAGGATTAACTTCCTTTAACTATGTCATAGGAACACATCCAGACCCCAACCTGTATTTGCTAAATCCCCTGTAGTCATGTTCTGGTGGTAGACCGTGGAGTAGTATGTACTCTACCCCCATTCTACAGCAGGCAGCAGCAACAAGCCTGCCAGGCAGGGCTGACTTGGGATGGAGTAGAGAGAGTCTCCCAGTTCATGAAATGTGACCCAATCATTGGGTGACTCACTAACCAGTTATCACTGGATTGCCATGCCTTGATAGAAAACTTTCATCATAAGGGATGGTGTGTGCTAAAGATGAGTTATGTGTGTGTGTTCGTCCATGTGAGAGGTTGTGAAGTGTGAATGACTGTACGAGTAGAAGAAGAAAAAAAAGTTTGGCACGCTTATCGTTTGGTCCATTGCCTGCACGTCTGTCTATCTGTCTGCTAGTCTGCCTGTCTGTTTAGCTGTCTTTCTTGTCAGTTTCTTGGTTTATCTGTTTGTCTGTCTATCTGTTAGTTTGTCCATCTCTCTATTTTTCTGCTCATCTGAACATGTTTTCAGAACTCACTTTAAAGCACATGTAGTCACAAATGATGTGTACAGTACTTTACTAAATTCTTACCCGAGAGCCATTACAAAAAACCATTACTGTAACTCTGATATGCTTAGCTCTGTACTATCTGTTTGAATCTAATCTTCTTATAACGAGACTATTGATGATCAAACTTCATTCTTTCTTTATTTACAAAACTGTCTAAATTTTGTGTTTGTTTAGGGCTTTACGATACAACATCTTGGTTGACCCTTCTGTTTCACGGAGTAAGAAACAGGAGGGGGCTAGGACAGCCCCAGCCACCCCCCCCCCCCCCAAAAAAAAAAAAATAAATAAAATTTCCTCTAGCTTTGTGTGAATATCTACTCTTTGACACCTTGACTCGTCTCCTATAAAATAAGTCCTATTCATGCCAATAACTAATTCCCCTTTAATAAGATGTGACTGCACGATTTAGACCAATCATCAGAGCATCTGCAGAAGCACTTAATTACAGGACAATATACTGCTACTTAATGATCTTCACTGACCTCTATTACCAACGATTGCAATTGAGCCCACGCATTCATTAATTATTGCTGGTATATAAAGACATGCTTCCTCGAGATGTTTTAAACCGGATGTGGTAGATCAGAACTTGACTAAATGCTGCTTGCACTTACATGTGGTGGAACATGATCTTGGCATCTTTCCATGTTTAAATTTGGCTTCTTCAGTGTTAGTATTTCATTACCACAAGGACCATTTGGGTCATAAAAAGTAATTTAAAATTAATTGAGAAAGGGGAAAGGGGAAATAAGAGAATAAAGTGAAAGTAATGAAATAAATAGAAAGGTGTGGATATGCACTATAAGTATAAGTATTGCAACTTCATGCCCACTTACATTAACTGCGCAAATTGCAAATTGACAAGGATGTTGCTAGGTGCTCAAAAAGGATAAGGAATTTTCTTGGTCTTACCAGCAGCCTCCTGTAAATGAACAGTCAGCGGTTGTATTCTGAAAATGATTTTCTTTATTTCATAAATATTAATTTTACCAATTTCAAATAGTTACTGGTGTTTGCACAGATCTATGTCCTCCACTAATGCAACCAACTATTGAAGCACATTCATGAACTGATGACATGTGGAGGTTTGGATTTGTTATGACGACTGAAATTATTTCACTTTTAAAAGAATAATATTATTTTCAGAATACCGCCCCTGATCTTTGTTTTGCAATAGCAGCTTACAGTGAGTAGGGTGAGAGTTGGAAACTTTTACGAAGGGCGTTAGGTAGAGTGAGAGTTTGAAACTTACCAAGGAGTGCTGCGAAGATGACGAATCTGTCCGGGTGGAGGTTGAGCGCCTTGGCCACCTCCTCCATGTTGTACTGCTGCGTGGTGATCTCTCCCTTCATGGAGAGCTTGAAGCGATGAGAAGAGAAGTACATGGGAGGATCGAAGATGGCCGTGTCTGAGGATTGCCCCAGGACGCCATGACAACCGCTCTGCCTCAGGTAGGTTATCACCTCATGTGCATGGTCGTTGCAGGTGTGAACCGTCTGGATGCCACACTGGTGCAGGGCCAGGCGAATGCATGTGTCTGCAAGAGAAAACAATCAGTCAAAAATAATTATTTCTTTCATCAAGTATGAGCAATCATTGGAAAGGAAAGCTTTTTTTGAAGGCAACAATTTATGAAAGTTCTTAAGATCACAAAGGTAGGGCTCCACACTGAATTTTACATGTGGGATTGGATTGAATTTAGAATTATTTGTGTGCATGGACCCCCTGTTAAGAATTGAACATTTTGGGGTCTAGAACTATAACTTAGGCCCATGGGTACTACATGTAGCACCTGTTAGTCTCAAGGTATCAGGGGGCAATCATTCTCAGCCTATCATTTTCCCCACTAAGGAAGAACAAAGCAAAGATCAAGACTTCATGAGTAATCCCCATGTCACAAGTGGTTATTATTAAAAATATTCTGTCCTGGTAACCTTATAAATATTATGATTTTGAAAATAATAACAGTGTCTTTAGATGCAATGATCAGTGTCCGTTTGAAGTCTGAAACTTGTATTACCAAATACATGTATGAATTAGTAATTTTTGTTGTTGTCCAAATAAATATTGTCTAAATATATATTCTTAAATGGCCGATACTTATAAGCAGCATCTAGAACAAACATGTTCTCTATTTTAAGTTAGGTAATACTTCAGACTCTAAACTGTCACGTTTGAAGTGTCAGAATTATGATACGATAAATGAGATTCATTTAGCAGTAACCTTGTATCTTGACACAATAATTTCACCCAGTATCAAGCAAAGTACACTCATCAAGATAAACATGAACAGACATTCCAAATCTTGAAGGTATTTGACTGTGTAAGCATAAAGCTAACAAACGTTTACATTGTACATGTGCTACTGAGTTCGGAACAAGCTCAGCCCCTGCTCCCTGCCGACGCCGCCTCTATTCTATTGGCTCCTCATACATGCACATGTACAGTATGCGCTACAGATGAAAACATTGCAAGGCATCAATCGTCATGTTTCTTAACTGGTCAGGTCAGATCTGGGTTAGAGTATGCTCACAATTATGAAGTATACTCTGAAACTAGGTCACTACAATGATAAGAGGTTTCTTGGCATTCTTACAGGAACAGAAGTTTGGTTTGATATTATTGTATAATACATGTAAAATGTACAATATGTACATTTTCTGTCTATCATGTGGTAAGAATATACAAATGTACATAGGTTCATGTACATGTGTAACTTTACTCCACTTTTGAGTATTGATTCAGATGTACAGGTATATTAGAAATTTGCATATCAAATATTTTTTTTGTTAAATATGGATGACAGTCCATTGCTTAGTGGAGCTATCACTAAGAATATGATGGACAAAGAAAGCGGACAAAATATACAGTTCCTCAGGTAGACAAAGGAACATCCCTTCACTGCTATTATGTAAACATGTGTAGAACAGGTGTCAAATGCATATTCACCTGTTCTACACATTTTTACATAATAGCAGTGAAGGTATGTTCCATTGTCTACCTGAGGAACTGTATATTTTGTCCGCTTTCTTTGTCCGTTATGTTCATAGTGTATATTAAACTACATGAACTGTAATTTTGTAATTACTGTATCAAAGATAGATGGGGCACATTGGAATGTGCTCCTGCTGTTTTCAAATTTGGCATTCTTCAATCAATTATGCAAAAAATGTAAGAATTCCTACACGCATCACATTTATTTCATGTACCTGTGGATAATGTTTTCTTTATCTTGGAAAATCATATTTACATGTAGCATTCAAGTACATGTATGGATATTGGGAGAATAAATATGCACAAGCCCAAAATTTAGTAAATCTTTGAGCTTACACATTACTAAAAAATAATTAAAGTATACCACAAAAACGATTACATCATCCTACTTATTCATGACTAATGATGAACATTAATGTTACCCTCACTGATCTAAAGCTATGGTCACAAATCAGAGCAGCGACCGACCGATCAGTAGCCTGCTCGGTCGCTGCTGGAATTTAGGCATCGCCCAGCGATTAGGTCGGTGCCCGGGCAGCGACCGCCCACGCACCGAGCGTATTTTGGGCGGCGAGTGAAAAGTGAGCAGGCGCTGCCCAAATTTTAACTCCGCGCTAAAACTTCAGCGGCGACCGAGCGATGCCCTAAAAATGAGCGGTACCTGGGCGGCCGCTGCTCGGTGGTTGGGTAGCCGCCGGGCAGAATTGGTTAAAAACTCGCCGCTCGGCCGCCGAGCAGGCTACTTTTGGGTAATGTGACCATAGCATTACATCTCATAAATAAATACAATGTAGTCTTGATTTTAAAGACCTTGAGCAATACATGTAGACCATTTTCGTAATGTAATCAAATACTGTACAATGCACAAATCTTTGCTAAGTGATTTGTTACAAAATATTTCATTCACCTGTTACAAATAATTGTAATTCAATCGGCAGAATGTGAATTGCATACATGTATATTCTGTGTTGTTAAATAGGTATAAAGCCATAATGTTTGTCTGTCCTACCTAGCAACAAATTGTATTACATTACGAAAATGGTCTATCGGCTAAAGATATTTTCATATGAGACAGTCACAGTGACTTCTACTTGCACATCTTAACAAAAATTTGCCTTTCATTTTCACAAGTGCATATTTAATGAGCAGGGTGGAAATCAAAGACTGAATGCATACATTGGGAATGATAAATGATTGTGGGCATCCTATTTTTTTTTTTTTTTGTCACCTAGCTACTGTGACTCATCTTTCTCTCTCTCACACTCAATGCATCGGTTCCTTCTTTCAGACTGGGAGGTGTTCAAAAATCTTCCACAAGTACAAGTAGTTTGCATAATTCCCCCTCCTTGCATACAGTGTCTTCACTGTGTTGCTATTATGGGTGTACTACACAAATGTTTACCAAAGTAACATCATTTTGACAAATTTCAAGATGTAAGATAATCTGTGCCATTCAATTTACAAAATGTATTATGAAGTCATTTCACAAACAATTTAATGTGAAATTACTAAATATCTACATGATTCAAACAATTCAACCTTCAGTCAGTGCCAGCCTTACATTATTTAAAAAAACTAATGAAATAATAAATTAAATGAATATAATTATACTGATTACCGAATATCATAAAATAATGAATAAAATAAGTCTATAAATATGAGATTATAATATCAACATATATCGTCTACTGTCTATTGGATTAACCATGTTTATCCTGCATAATTGTGGTACTAGTGCGGTTGTGATATGATTCATTTAATAAGGCATGCAGATGCAACCACTTGCTCAAGTTGGAAGGGTATTTTCTGTATCAAAATAGTTGTATAACTGGAGAATGAGTGTACATATCACGTAAGATTTACTTGTGATGATATTACATTGTACTTATTTTTTTATTTTTTTAAATCCAGAGCTCTTTTAAGAGCTTACCAGAGCTACATGTACATGTAAATCACTCAAAACTCCTGTGTATTTCTTCACGGTTGGTAAAGTATGACACATCAACTGACTGAATAGGAAAATACCTTGGACTACATGTGGCCCTATCAGGTAACCATATTTGACTAGTTTTGTCCTGAAATATCACAGATAAAATAACAGAGCTTTAAGAGCTTGTTAGTAACTAAGAAAGAAAGAAAAGAAAGAGAAGACAGTTGAGAGAGAGATTAATTTCTATGATCATCAATCTTTTCCAAAACTCAGGTCTACAAACTGCAATGGTTCCATGGCAACATATTCAAACATTGCATTTAAGTCAACATCTTTTGATTGTTGTGATCATGAATGGGGATAGAGAGCAGCTGGTGCCAGAGTGGTACCTGGACTATTATGTCGCTGCCAAGGATAGCCTTAGATATTAGACCCTGGTTCTGTAGACCATGCATTTTAGACTTAAAAAATAATGACAATAGATTTTGGAGGAATGACTTTGCCACAATCATCATAAGAAAGCACAACTCAAGACAATAAACAAATCAGATCTGAGTGATAGAATTTGAATGAGCATACTCCGCATACTAAGGAACCTTTGCTTTTAGCTGGTCTTTTGTCACCCTCACATGCCATTCATCTAAAAAAAAAAAAAAAATGCATTTTGCAGCAGGAGTATTTTAAAGCGGTTCAAGACTTCATATTCGTCAGGCACTCAGGCTAATCAAATTGTTGCGCAAGTCATGACCAAATTGAGATTTTTGCCAAACTCAGGTCATTTTTTTTATGAGAGCCACCTAATACTCCAGGCATGTCATTTTCAAAAACTTAAACTGTGTTATCAATCAAAACATTACCTGCCTAAATTGTGTAATTTTCTTCGTTTTCTTTTCTTTTTCACATGTAATAAAAATGATTGAGTTTTAGACCACTATTTCATTATTAATGTGATATGTGAACAAGGCCTACATGTTAGACTTCTCATCTTTATGTGCACCAAGTTACAAATAAAATGTATCTTTTAGATAGGCTTTCACTCATTTTGGTTCACAATGCATAAGATTTCCCAATACAGGTACATTTTCACAAAAAGGATGCAAATGGAGTCCATACAATTATACTGGTCGAAAACAAGATTTCAAAAGACGAATTTTCACAAGAAATTCTAAAGGAGGCAAATGCATGCAGTATGGATAAATTTAGGCTAATCTGGGCAGCCATTTGTTGACATGGAAACACTAACAATATGAATTGATTAGGAGTCTGGACAAGGAGGCTATGAGAGCAAGCGGGCCAGCACCTGCCTTAGAAACCATGACAGCCATTGTTATGCAGATGAGATACCAGCTGCCTAGAGACATGGACATCAAGAACTGAGCCTAGATCAGGTACATAATGTACCTTTGGTATCATGATAATCAATGAACATCATTTTCTTATTAATGAAATAATGTTCATGTAGACTGTAGAGTATTGGAAGACATGTCACTCGTTAGCAATGTAAGAATTAAAGTTTGTCTACATAAGATCTCATAAACAAAACAAAAAACCTACATTTGTACACCTCCATAATTGTGAAAAAGTAACAGTTTTTTAGAAGGGCATTAACTTAC